TAAAATTAAAAGTCTTTTTTAAAACTGGAGGGAAAATATTTCTCCCAAGTTTCAGAGGTTATACAGACAGAAAATTTGAAGGCTGTAGATAAGCCCCTATTAACTATTTTCCAAAAGGCTTGTGAGTCTTTACTATGAATGGCTGCTATAAGTGTCTCCCATTCTTTTTGTTGGGCTGCCTGTTTTTTTATACCTAATCATATCCCTGAAAAACCTTTCCAAACTTTAAATGAAATACCTCTTAAACTATGTGACTCAGAAACTAGAATTCTTAAAGAAATCCCGTGGAGGGTAAGAGAAAAAAGACAAGACTACTCTGTACTCTCAAAGCAAACAACATACAATATAGATGGTTGCTAACAAAAGGTCTTTTTTATATATATAAAGCAAAAAGTTATAAGATCAATTCGCCCTTTAAAACAGATGACTTTATTGAAAGACATGGAAAAGACTTTGGATGGCAGGAGGAAGAGGAAGAATTAACAGATGTGGAAGAAGATTCCCAGAAACAGAATGAGGCCCGCGGGACCGAAACTACACAGGAAAAGGAAAATAGAAGAAGGAAAGAAATACACCCTTCACAAATTGTTACAAGACAACAACAAAAGGACAACAAGGTAGTAACAGAAAAAGACAGAGAAGAATAGTCAAAGACTAAAGTTACTATCAATTAATGTTAATGGTCTGAACTCACCACAAAAAAGATCAAGAATATTTCATCAAATAAAAAAACTTAGAGCAGATGTGATCTGTCTTCAGGAGACCCATATTAAAAAAGAAGATCAACGCTTTCTTGAGATTAAAAAACTGGGTAAATCCTTCATAGTGGCAGATGGAAAAAAGAAAAAAAGTAGTTACGTACGTCAAGGAAAATCTGCAACCAGAATTGCTATTTAAATCGGAAGATGGATGACTTGTGATAATTCAAATCCGAAGACAGAATAAAATAACACTTATAGTAAACATTTATGCTCCGAATCAAAAGCAAGAAAAATTCTATACGCTAGTAAGAGAAACAGTGGCTAAACAAACATTTGATGAGATCTGTCTAGTGGGAGACTTTAACGCGGTTTTCGCTAGAACAATGGACAGAAAAAGTCTATACACAAAACAGAAACAAGGTAACGAACTTCCAAAATCCTTTATTAGAACAGCAGAATAGTTCAGTCTCATAGATGCATGGAGAACCAGGAACATTGATAGAAAAGACTTTACCTTTTTTATTCAAATAGAGACAAATCCTGGTCAAGGTTAGACATAGTGTGGTTGTCTGCAGAGATGGTCAATGATATCTGGGAGGTCGAGATCCTCCCAGCTACCTTTGCGGACCATAACCCAATCATGTTGACCTTATTGGATACTCCAAGAAGAAAAAGACTCTGAATACACTTCTTCTTAAAGACAAAAAATTCATAACAGAATCTAAGATGGAATTTCATTTTTTTTAGAGAAAATACACAACCAGAAGTCTCCTTAGAAACAACTTGGGATACATTTAAGGCATATGCGAGGGGATGATTCAATGGGCAAAATGCCTGGAAAAGAAAACAAGAAAATAGAAAACTCAATCAGATCCAAGAAAAAATAAAGAAACCAAAATGAAGTTGACAAATGTTAATCAACTATCTGCAAAAAGTCTACAACATCAGCTAAACTGTATTCTAACCCAAGAAATTGCAAAAAAGATTAACTATGCGAGACAATATTACTTTGAAAATTCCAATAAGCCAACGAGATGGCTTGCCTACAAATTAAGAACTGAAAGAGAAAAGGAAATTATAAAGAGCTTAAAAATGAGAAGAATATACTTTAAAAGATTTGAAAAAGGTGGCAGAACAGTTTTACAAAAGATTGTATGAGCAAGAAGATATTCAGCCAGATAACATAAAACACTACTTGGAAAAATATTTAGAGGGAAAATTTACCAAAGACCAGAAAAAAATTCTAAATGACCCCATTTCTATGTGTGAAATAACTGAAGCAATAAGAAATTAAAAAAAAATAAGAAAACCCCTGGGCCAGATGGGGTCCCTATAGAATGTTATAAGATCTATGAAGAGGAGGTGACGTTACCATTGAAAGAAATAATGAATAATATTATAGATAAAGGTCAAATGCCATATTCTTGGAAGGAAGCTCAAATCACGTTAATACATAAACAAGGGTCAGAAAGAAACGAAATCAAAAATTATAGACCAATATTTCTCCTCAACGTTGATTATAAGATCTACACATACATTTTAGCCGGAAGGCTAAAAAGGGTGTTGCTGCAAGTCATACATAAGGATCAAGCTGGATTCCTACCAAAGAGGCAGATTAAACATAACGTTAGAACAATACTCAATGTTTTGGAATTCTACGAACAACACCCAGAAAAAAGCATGGCCCTAATATTTGTTGATGCTGAAAAAGCCTTTGATAACGTAAGCTAAGCTTATTGGAAAAACTAAGAAGATGGGAATGCGGAAAAAACTTTTGAACAATTATTAGAGCAATATACGATAAGCAATCAGCCAAAATAATAATAAATGGATATTTAACCCAAAGTACAAAGATCCAAAAGGGCACAAGGCAAGGCTGCCCCCGTCTACTTTTTATTTTTGCGTTAGAAACTTTATTAGTACAGGTTAGAAACAAAAGAGAACCTTATTAGTACAGGTTGGAAACAAAGGAGAAATTAATGGTCTGCAAATTAAAGGAGAAAATTTTAAAGTTCAGGCCTTTGCTGACATCATTAGAACAATTATTGAACACTTTATACAAATATGGTAAAGTGGCAGGGCTTAAGGTAAATAAAAATAAAACAAAGATACTACTGAAACTGTGAAGAAAATGTGAGGAGGTTATTACAAGAAACCTCTGAATTTGAAGCACATAAGAAAATTCAATATCTAAGAATCTTTTTGACAACAATGACAATTATAAAAAATTAATCTCCGAAATAAAGAAAGACCTAGAAACTTGGAAAACACTTCACATACCTTTACTTGGAAGAATAGCAACTGTAAAAATGAATGTTCTACTGCGTATTTTTTTCCTCTTCCAAACAATTCCTATTCTAAGAAACCAGAGTTTCTTCAAAGAATTGGAAAAACTTATAAAGGATTTTATATGGCAACAGAAAAGACCAAGAATAAAGCTAAAATATTTACAAGAAAGGAAAAGAGAGAGGTGGGTTAGCTCTTCCAGATTGGGCTACGTACTATAAAGCAGCAGCAATACACTGGATAAAGGAGCGGATTATCCAGGAAGATATAAGATTACTTAACTTGAGGGCCATGATTTAGTGATGGTTTGGCACGCTTATTTGTGGTATAATAAAGCATTTTCCTATAGCTACTTTAAACAGCATACAATCAGAGGTGCACTATATAAAACTTGGGAAGAGATAAAGAAAAAATACTACACAAAAACACCGAGATGAGACTCGCCTATAGAAGCATTTGTAAAACCCTCTCTTTATGTAAAGTATTCTAAATGGCGATATGAAGATCTTCTCAATTCAAATGGAAATCTGATTCTTGAAGATATATTAAAAGAACAAGGTACAAATCTGACCTGGTGGGAGAAAACCCAACTTATCTCAAGATGGTCAAAAGACAAAAAAATAAAATTCTATGAAAACCAAACCTAATTAGATAAAATCTGGCTAGTTACAAATGAAAGATTTATTTAAAAAGATTATAATTTTTGGCTCGAATGGAAAATGCAAGATGAGTGGGTGAAACCCTCTATGATAGCATGGGCACAGGATATAGGACATAACCTAGAACTAGATCAATGGGATAAAATTTGGTCAAGAAACATAAAATTTGTGAGAACAAGCGCGTTTAAAGAGAATATTGTCAAAATGTTCTGTAGATGGCACATATCTCCAGTAAGACTAAATAAATATAATAAAAATATAGGAAAAAGCTGTTGGAAATGTAATTATGGCAATGGCACCTACTACTCATGTAACAAAACTAAAAAAGTTTGGCGTATGATAAAAGAGATTATTGATATTAGTTTTTAAAATCCCATTTGCACCAGAATGCTTTTGTTGAATGTTATTCCTGACTCTAAGAAAAATGAGTTATATTTAACCATGCAAAATTTTGACTGCAGCTAGAATTGTACTTGCTAAGAGATGGAAAGATGGAAACATTCCCACTAGAGAAGAATTTATTTTTAAATTACTTGATGTAGCAGAAATGGAGAAACTAACCTTCATTATTGATATTTGAAAATTATTGGATTGGATTCTATAGATGGTTAACAGAGTCAAAATTTGGTTTACATGAATGAAGAAACTGAACTTAACAGCTATTGTAGCAAACTATCCTTATATGTATACTGGCTAACATTTAGCAGTGCAAAATTTTGTTCATATGTTGTTGACACAATGGATTGTGAAGATCTCTGCAACTATGACAATACGAATAGACAATGCAATTTATTTTTCAACAGAAAAACCAATAAAAATAAATTTAAAAAATGCTTTGAATGCCTCTCAAATGGATGTATATTTAAACCTCTGTTTTTTATTTACTTTGAAAAATAACTTTATTTCCTTTTAAATTTTAGCATGTACCTCCTTATTCTATAATAACAGATTATTTATCCTCCGATCTGTTTTTTTTCCTGCTCATGTTCAATATCAAATTTGAATACCATTGGTGTGAGTGGTCTATCAAAGACATTGCCTCCATTGACATTCCATAACCCCTTGCTTTAACATATTTGCATCTGCAAAGATATAATCAGTATGGGAGTGCAAGTTATGCCTATACAGGAAGTAGAGTAGTCTTTTTTTGACAGATGCTTATATCTATAAGTATCAACCAATGATATGTCTTTAAACCAGTTCTTTAAAAAGTTAGGAATCCTGCTGGTGTTTTGTTGAATGTTCCTTTTTTGTATATTTTCCATTGTGGCTTAAATGCTGCTGCCTTGGGGAATTTATTATTACATGCAGTATGTAATTATATTCAATAAATCAAGTACTGTTTTTATCACAGGTGTTCAGATCCTGGGTCTGAAGTTGGAGTTGTAGAAGAGTCTCCTGAAAAAGCACTGACCTGTAGGTATTGGTGTAAAGTGATTTTTTTTCCTCACCTATACTGGATGACTCTCAAAATCTGGGAAATGGTGGTCACCTCACCATAGTGAAATTTGCTTGCTGAGAGAGCAGAACGTGGCAAGAATTCTGAAATGATCAACTGATCCCAAATGCTTGCCACCTTAATGGACAAGGGAGCTTGTATTTTGGAGACAGACAAAAGAGAGTTGAACTACTAGAGGAAAAACTTGTTTGTAGCTGTGCTGGTTCAGAATACAGATCCCAAACCAAAACATATGGTCTAAAGCATGTCAAGTCACAACTGACTTATGTTGACCCCCTCATGGGGTTTTCAAGGCAAGAGATGTTCAGAGGTGATTTGCCATTGCCTGCCTCTGTGTAGCAACCCTGGACTTCTCAGATGGTCTCCCATCAAACTACTAATTGGAGCTGACCCTGCTTAGCAGCTGAGATCTGACAGAATTGCCCTAGCCAGGACAGATAATAAGGTCCATGTAATAACTTTTTATTATTGGACTAACCAGAATGACACAACTGTGAAAGCTTTTGAGTTCACCAGAATGCTTTGCCAGGCTAGATACTAAAGAAAGAGGACAATTTTTAGGCCATGATTTTTAGGGCCTGTTCTTGCTAGCATAATGATGGACTGGTGTATTGTTGTCAGCTGTGTTACCTCCAAGCTGTGCTAGGGGGTGCTCGCACACAGCATTTTAGCTGGCAGCTCAGCCTATAACATTTTCCCCTCCGTTGGAAACAATGGAGGATGGGGGCACCTCCTTCTGGGGCTCATAGAATTGGATCCCTAGTCCAATCTGGTCCAATCTTTTTTAAACTTGGAGGGTTTTTTTGTGGAGAGGCACCAGCAGCTATGCTACAAATGTGGTGCCTCTACCTCAAAAAATAGTCCCCCTGAGCCCCAAATACCCCCAGATCAATTCTCCATTATAGCCTATGAGGCCCATTGACTATAATGGTCCCCATAGGCTACAGTGGACCCAGAAAACGGGGTTTTTTGCACACTCCTATTATGCTTTTCAGTAAGATTTGTAAGATGCCTTGAGTCACAGGGAAAAGCGGCATATAAATATTTGAATAAATAAATCTGGCCAGATTGATAAGATTTAATCAACTTCCTGTTTGTTAGCTTAGGCAGGGTTCTGACAGTAATTGTTCCTCCTCTGTTATACTTGACCTGTAATGCTGGTTGTCATATTTCACTAAAAAAACCAAAGTAGACTGCAAGAGTTCCCCCCCCCCCAAAAAAAATTGCTGGTATGCTTTCTAAGGCTCAGCGCAGGGTGACAGTGTGAGGCCAGGCCTACCAATATAGTGGAAAGGGGTGGGTAGAGCTATTATCTGGAGGACAGGTCTACCAATATAGTGGAATGGGGCAGATAGACCTGTTTGCTGGAGGACACATCTACCAATATAGTGGAAAGGGATGGGTGAAATTTGACTTGATTCTGTTTTCTCTTATAATGTTGAAATTATTCTTAAAATATAGTTTAAATATAATTTAAAATAATTTTTTCTGAGATTTTTACAAGATAATGGAAATAATCTTCTAAAAACTAATTTACACGATAGTCAAATGTAGACTCGGTCACAGCTTTAATGCTACTAGCTTTTTTCACTCACGAGGTAGAATTTCTGCTCACAACACTGTGGAACTTAGAGGGAATATTGGTTGTCAGATCACACTCTAGTTTCTCTAAGCAAGAAAAAGTAAATGGTGTGTCTCCATTGAAAATGACATTATTGTAGATTTATTTAGACATTATTGTAGATTTATTTAGAGTAGGCTGTGACCTTGCAAAGTCTCACCCATTTTGTTTTGTACTAAAAAGAAATGTGCAGTCTTTTAGGAAGGGAAAAGCTGGTTCTGTGCGTTTGTTTTGCCAGAGAAAGCTTGTGATGCAGATAATTTAGTAGATAATGGAAATTGGCAGTCTTTTTCCTCTGCAGAAACATGCTTCCTAGAGCTGTGGGGAAGGGAGTTTGAAACATTTGGACTTTCCTTCTTTAGAAATAATTGCTAGGGAGAAGGGAAGGAGAAAAAAAGCATAGCATAGCAAAACTGGATTTCTCAACAGAGGCAAGCAATGGTAATGACAGAAGCAGGTTTCAGTTATTTTTTTCATGTGTCTAGTTTGAGCCTTCATTCCTTGGTCTTGCCCTTTGTCAGGAACACAACCTTGATGTGATGACATAAAAAAGCCTTGATGGGTTTGTCTTTCCTCCCTTTAAAGGTGGCTTAAGAAGGAGTCCCCGAATCAAGCAGTTGTTGCTGGATAGAACGTTCTCTGGTTCCTTTCAATCCTCCAAGGCTATCATAAAGAATGTAGAGGAGGTGCCTTCTGCACATCTAGAAGGGCCAGGCAATCCAGAGGATTTAACAGGTATGGAAGTGGGTTGCTGCTTTGTCTCTGTGAGGAACACCTCTCTGTGTCTAATAAGAGTGATGCATGTTAGAGCCTGAACCTACATGTGAAAGTTGTTTTGATTCCATAAAAGTGTTTGTTTGTTTTTTAAACAAAATCCAAAAGGAAAGGAGAGGTTGCAGATACTTGTCGGTTTCTTAAATAAGGGGAGCTAGTGAAACATGGTTTTGGATTAGTATCTGGGAAACCCAGGTTTGAATCCCCACTCGTGCCATTGAAGCTCATTGGATGCCCTTGGGCCAGTTACATAACTCTCTTAGCCTAACCTATCTCACTGGGTGGTTTTGGGGATAAATTGGAGGAGTGGAGAATGATGTAACTTGCCGGGCCCCCATTGGGGAGAAATACAGGGCATAAATTAATTTAATTAAGCGTGCAATTAACAGACTGCATTTCTTCTTCCAAATGCAGGCTTTTGGGAGTGGAAAAAAGTCTTGGGCATCCTGAGTCTGCATATTAAATTCTCACTATTAGGAATTTTGAATTTTTTTAACTTTTTTTTTTAATAACAGAATTGCCTTGTAGAAACTGGAAGCTCATTCGGCCTAAGTTCTTTCAAAAGGCTTGGACGTCTGCAGTACTAATATTCTTACATACACCTGAACTATATGCTTAAAAGGGGTCTTGTGCTGTGAGGGTCTCTGTGGTGAACTGCAGAATGGAATCCAAGATGCTGTGACTTGTGGGAGAAGGGCTAAGAACCCTTCAAGTTGGTTCTTTATTGAAAATTGCACTCACTCTCTGCTACTCGGCAACTGCATGGTAGAGATTCAAGTTTCCAAATGTTGGTCTATAGAACCTGTAGTTATTGCTGTACTCTTGTATGCTAAATAAAGTTCATTCTGTCCTAAATCCCCCTCTATCTTCTGCCCTAGATAGCGGCTAGATGAAATAACTCTGTCATAGTAGGTGATTTTAACTACCACATTTATTGGGTCAATATGTGTTCAAGTTGGGAAAAAGAGATTGAGTTTCTAGACACTCTAAATGACTGTGCTATGGAGCAGATGGTCACAGAACCTACCAGGGGCGGGCGATCCTGGATTTGGTCCTAAGTAACGCCCAAGACCTGGTGAGAGATGTAAAAGTGATTGCACCGCTTGGGAACAGTGACCATAATGTTATTGAGTTCAACATTTGTATAAATAGGGAGTTGCCCAAAAAGACCAACACAACCACTTTTAACTTTAAAAGGGGTAACGTCTCTGAAATGGGGGGACATGTGAGGAGGAAACTGAAAGGAAAAGTAGAAAGGGTCAAAACAATTGGGGAATCTTGGAGACTATTTAAAACTACCATCCTAGAAGCTTAGAAAAAATATATACCGCAGGTTAGGAAAGGCACAGATAGCTATAGAAAAAGGCCTGCATGGTTAACAAACAAAGTAATGGAAGCTGTAAAAGGTAAGAAGGATTCCTTTAAGTGGTGGAAATCTAGTCTCAGTGAGGTTGATAAAAGGGAACACAGGCTGTGGCAAATAAAATGCAAATCTGTGATCAGACAGGCAAAAAGGGAATATGAGAAGCATATAGCAAAAAACATAAAGACCAACAATAAAACTTTCTTCAAATACATTAGAAGCATGAGACCAGCCAGGGAGGCAGTGGGGGTAAAAGGGCTACTGAAGGATGAACCTGTTAGTGTTCTTCGAGGGAGTGAACAAATGTGGCCAAGGGGGACCCAATAGATGTTGTTTACCTTGACTTCCAGAAAGCTTTTGATAAAGTTCCTCATCAAAGGCTCCTAAGTAAGCTCAATAGTCATGGGATAAAAGGACAAGTCCTTTTGTGGATCAAAAACTGGCTAATTAATGGGAAACAGAGAGTAAGTATAAATGGGCAATTTTCTCAGTGGAGGGTGGTAAGCAGTGGAGTACCGCAGGGATCAGTACTGGGTCCGAAGCTTTTTAACTTGTTCATTAATGATTAGGAGTTGGGAGTTAAGCAGTGAAGTGGCTAAATTTGCAAATGACACGAAATTGTTCAGGGTGGTGAAAACCAGGGAGGATTGTGAGGCACGCCAAAGGGATCTGTCGTGGATGGGCAAGTGGGCGTCAACGTGGCAAATGGGGTTCAATGTGGCCACGTGCAAAGTGACGCACATTGGGGCTAAAAATCCTAACTAAATACATGTTGAAGGGGTCCAAACTGGCAGAGACTGACCAAGAGAGAGATCTTGGAGTCATAGTAGATAACTCACTGAAAATGTTGAGACACTGTGTAACTGCAATAAAAAAGGCCAATGGTATGCTGGGGATTATTAGGAAGGGAATTGAAAACAAATAAGCCAGTATCATAATACCCCTGTATAAATCGATGGTGCAACCTCATTTGGCATACTGTGTACAGTTCTGGTCACCGCACCTCAAAAAGTGCAGAAAAGAGCAACTAGGATGATAAAAAGGTTGGAACACTTTCCCTATGAAGAAAGGTTAAAGCGCTTGGATTCTTTAGCTTGGAGAAACAACGGCTGAGGGGGTGACATGATCAAGGTTTACAAGATTATGCATGGGATAGAGCAGGTAGAGAAAGAAGTGCTTTTCTCCCTTTCTCACAATACAAGAACTCGTGGGCACTCAATGAAGTTGCTGAGCAGTCGGGTTAGAACAGATAAAAGGGAAGTACTTCTTCACCCAAAGGGAATTCACTGCCACAGGAGGTGGTGGCGGCTACAAGCATGGACAGCTTCAAGAAGGAATTAGAAAAGCATATGGAGCAGAGGTCCATCAGTGGCAATTAGCCACAAGGTATAGATAGGAACTCTCAGGATGGGGCAAGTGATGCTCTGTACTTTTGGTGCTTGGGGGGGTGGCAACAGTGGGAGGGCTTCTAGTGCCTTCGGCCCACTGATGGACCTCCTGATAGCACCTGGTATTTTTGGCCACTGTAACAGAGTGTTGGACTGAATGGGCCTGATCCAACATTGGTTTCTCTTATGTTCTTCTGTTCTTAAAAAACTCGAGTGACCTGCAAACACATGAGCTTGAGGATACCGTAGCAGCAGTAACTGTTCTTCTGTTCGTCTGTAGGCTGGGCTTTGCCATCCCCTAAAAACACTATCCAGTCCCCTAAGAGCCTTCTCTTTGGAGCACTTCACGAGGCACCCAGTTCTGGAGGAATGCAGTCACAAAGAAAGAGGAGAAAATCTTTAGCCTCAGATGATCCTGTTGCTTACCAGGTAAACTTCGTTCGTGGGGCTTCTGCCCATATTTAGTGGTCTGTGTGACTTCAGACTGCTCATTGCAAGGCATAGCTAAGATGCACAGCATTTAGTTGAATAGAGCCATCCATTTCATATCCTGGAATGGCACTGAGTAGATCTGCAGAATGTATTCTATTGTTTATGCTCGTATCCCAAAGCAGTGATCCATTCTCATTTCCCTTCCACAGACACCTAGAAAAACTCCTCGTCGGTCTTCCCAGAGGTTCCTAAGTCCCCCCAGCAACATCCTGAGGAGATCTCCTCGGATCCAAGAGAAGTCCCAGCTGACCTTCCTGAAAAGCCCAGTCCCAAAACAGACGGTGGCAAAGAATTTAGGCTGTCTCTTCTCCCCTCCTAAGCAGAAGAGCAAGCCTTCACCTACATCCATTGAGAAGAAAGGAGAATCTCCAGCACAGTCCACTCTGTCAAAGGAAAACTTTTCTCCTCCTTGCAGAGCTTGGCAGCTCCACACTCCAAGAAAACAAGAAACGGGGGAAGTGTTCGGTGAGGTGTTTGGTTCACCCACAAACAGTTCCCATTCAGATTCTTGTTTTGTAGCAACAACTCTGTTGCCACTGAATCCCAGGGGAAAGTCTCACTCTCAGCCGCACTTCCCTAAGCAATCCTTGAGAACTGCCTGGAAACCAGCCTTTCTGGCTTCTGCTCAGAGGCAGACTCCTGAGGCAGAAAGACCAAGAGATCTGAATTATTTTGAGCAACTGAAGTCAGACCCGACACCCAGAAAATTTGGGGGTGGACCTACAGATCAGTCCTTGAGCCCCAAGAGTGCTGGGGTTGCTGAGGCCTTATCTCCACAGGTGTCACTATCCAATTTTACCTCTTTGCCTTGCACACAGCTAAGGGCGGGCTACATGCTCTCCCCTTGTACAACTCCAGAGCAGGTCAGAGAGATTTGCACACCCAAAAAATCACCTTTGAAACTTCAGAGCAGATCAGGCATCACCCCAGCAGAATCTGTCCAGTCTCCTTCCTGTGTGTCAGAAGGATCCTTGCATACACACAAAAGTAAGGGGGAACCTTCTCAGTGGGATGTACTTATCAGTCCTACTGAAACTGACTCATTCTGCAAACCTGGGATTAATGAGAGTGTGTCTTTGGTGCCGGGATATGAACAGGCTTCAGGAACTGTGGCCCCAAGTAAGGTTTCAGAGAGACACCTGTCTCCTGAACTGTTGGCTAGAGATAGCAGGTGTATCCTGGATGCCATAGCGGCATCTGAGTGTGTAGATCCTTCTGCTTCAACCAACAAGGGGAACCAGAAATTACTGTCAAATAGTTCTCCAGGGCAACAAGGCCCAATGGCTTTACAAGATAAAGTTTTGCCAGCAGCAAAGTTTTTAGATTTGCGGCAGCCATTTTTTCAAACCCCTCCCAGATGCACCATGAAATCCTCAGCCCCAAAGTTTGGCTCGAGCACCTACACATTGCGCTGTACCCCAGGCAGAAGACAGCGGGAAGCTGCCGCACGGCTTGGCAATATTGAAACTATGTCAAACGTGATTATTCCCCGGAATACTCATGCATTGCCTTCCACAACAAGTCCACCTACCTACGAGGTTCAGCTTGAGATGCAAGCATCTGGCCTGCCCAAGCTCCGCATCAAAAGGGTTGGCTCTGGGGTACCCATCGAACTGCAATCCCAGGCAGAGACTAGAAAATCTGAAGTAGAGGAAAGCAAACTTGACACAGGGGATCTTTGTGTGAGCTGGTGTGGTAGGCATTCAGGAAAGCTAGAACCTGTCTGCATCTCGCCATCCTGTTTGAGGTCCACCCACAGTACTCCAGGGAAGTTGGGAGGAGGGCAGACCTACATATGCCAGTCATACACTCCATCTCGCTGCATCTCAAGCTGCACTTCCCCATCTGATGGCAGTGCTAATATTTCTTGGACGCCTTCTCCAAAGCAGAAAGCAAAAGTTACCCCTGAAGCAATCAAAGACTGGCCACGGAGAAAGAGGGCCATTGTCGGGTGCAACAAGAGTGAGAGACAGGCAGAGCCTTCTACAGATGAGTGGGGACTGAGTACAGAGCTCTTTGGTGGCAGCAAAGCCCTGGGTGTGGGAGAGTTTGAACTGGAGGGAGTTTACAGGCTCCAAGACCAGTCACCATGCAGTGACACAGAAACGTGCAGAGATAAATGTGTCCACAAAGGGCCTTTTGGATTAAAGTCCAGGAAAAGGGTCTTTGAACACCTGTCTCCAGAGGAGGAAGCAAGCTGGGAAACAAAAAGGGCCTGTCCAGTGCAAGAGCCCCCAGCTGTGGCTGTTCACTCAACAAAACTGTTCAGCATACGCCAAGAAAGAGCATCATCAATCAGGACAAACCTGGAAAAAGAGACCTTCAACTTCTCAGGTGATTGTGGTCAATGCGTTGAAATTCAAAGCTGGGTTGTAACAGTCAGCCACAGAACTGCCCTGGAATCCACAGTGATGGAAATGGGGGGGGGGGGGGGGGGAGTCAAGGGCCGGGGCGTGAACCAAGCTGATCTAAGCAACAAGTTGATATTGCTCTTCTGTGGCAGGGGGGGAGCAGGCCATCAGGACCCTGAGGAGAGGATGTAGCCAGGCACCAGTAGGTTGGGCTGGGGGTAGCTGACATGGTCTTCTGACAGAAGCCCAGGTGCATTGGCCTGCTGGCTAGAGGGGTGGGATTGGGAGCCAGTTCGGTGTAGTGGTTTAGAGCATAGACTCTAATATGGGAGAACCAGATTTGAATTCCCCACTCCTCCAACATGCAGCTGCTAGTGTGACCTTGGGTCAGTCATAAGTTCTTTCAGAGCTGTTCTCTCAAGGGCAGTTCTCATGGTGTCTGTCGTGGGGGAGAGGAAGGGAAAGGGATTGTAAGCCCTAGATTCAGGGAACCTCCTTCTTACCCATCACAGGTCAACTGACTATCATCTGCACTTTAATTGGCTAGCACAGAAACTAGTTCCAGAACAGACTAGACCAGAACTGGCAGGTCTGTGGGAAAAAGAAGTTTTATTCTTTGTTTCCCAGTCCTACGCTACCAAAGCAGTCTCACAAATCAACAAGAAAACCCTTAATGCCACTTTTAAAAAAACTGTTCTCCGGTTGGATCATGTAACACAGAGGTGTCGAACTCATTTGTTACATGGGCTGGATCAGACATAAATGTCACATTGCTGGGCCAGGCCATGTGGGCCATAAAATGTAATGCCAGGTACGGGAGATATAAACTTTATAAAGGACAAAGGCAAGCCCAAATTAACGATATTATTTTTTACTCAAAATACAAGCATGCTTAAAACAGTAACACTCTTGCAGTATTTCCTTAAATTATCTCCCTGCTGTCCACCCTCTCCACTATCCTTTATTCATTAGCCCTGGGACAGCATACAGGGACAAAATGCACAGCCCCTGTCATCTGGCAATAAAGGGCAGTTACTCAGGGGCCAGATAAGAGCCCTGGATGGGCCGGTTCCAGCCCACGGGTCATATGTTTGACGCCCCAATTTAACATTTTAATTAATCTCAAGCTTGATGCCTTCCCACATTTCCAGTACCCCGCACAAGCATGATCTAGGTCCTTTTGGGTTTGTAAACCTCCAAGCAAACAGGATTCATTAGGCCGTCTCTCGTTTGATAATTCCTTCCTCACTCTCCCTCCCCAGGCTTAACTCCACCCAGTTCTGTGAAGAGCAACATCTCTGCTAGCAGTATTCGGGCACTGACGCAGTCTCCCCTGCTTTATCAGGGGTGTGCCACATCCCAGAAGAAGTGCCTTCCAGGTAAAAAAAAAACTGGCAATTTTGAGTTAAAACTGCTGAGAGCAAGCAGGGTGGCAAGGGTTTGAAATGACAGGTTCCCTGTATATACTTTGAGAGGAGCAGGGAGGGTATGCCCTTGTAACAGCTTCGCTTCTCAGAAGGGAGCTGGGGGTTCTGTTGTTTCACAGGCTTCCTGTTCTCAGGGCAGCTAGGAATTGCCTTCTGGGGCTGCAGCTAAACACTACCTGCCTGTCCCTTTCACGAACTCCTCTCCCCTACACAGAAGATGACTCTGACTTGGGAGCCAGAAGTGAAGACCTGTCTCCATTCAACAGCGCACCCTCTAAACGGCGTCCCCTCAGCAGGATCTACTCACGGAAACGGCTGCTGAGCTGAACTTTGGTCCAAGACTTTAAGAATGTAGTCCAAAACCAACTTTCATTGTCTGGCACTGTTTTAAAAATCAAAACCTAGAGGTTATCACTGGTTCTAGCAGAGGCATCTGTTGCTTGAGAAGCTGCATCTCACCATTTGAATATGTCTAGGGTAAGTGCTTTCATTCCGCCTGCCAGGGAAGAAGAAAAGGATGAACAGGCACCAGCAATGGGGGTGGAGGGGGGCGCTTATCTTGGGCTCTTGGGCAGCCTGCCACCATATGGACCCTCCTGCGTTGAGCAGTCAAAAGGAAGTAAAATAGTGGGGTGGTGAACTGGACTGCTTTTAAATAATTCTTTTGTAAAATAAATTTCATAACAAACTTGTTATAATGGTACTGAAATTCTGAATATCCTGAATGCTAGAGAACCCAGAGGCCAGCCAGAACTGCACAGCTTCCTTGTCCATGCATTACATGCGTGCAGCCACGTTAGTCAGCCCAACTACAGAGTTCACGACGGTTCGTTTAGAAGCCCAGGCCTACTGTATGCCAGTGCTCTGCACTGCAATTTTATCCATTCTGTTGTCATCTTGGGTAGTGACAACAGTTCTAGCGGGTTGTGATCAAACTGCTTTCTGAAGCAGAAGGGGCCATGGGCACACAAGAGGATACTTGCTGCCCAGCAGGGATTCAGCATGGTTTCATTCAGGTTGCCATAACTGACCACCACATAATGACTTACAAAAAGGTTGCTTGTTTATTAAAAAGTTACAGTATAAAAAGGTAATGTACACATTTGTCTCTCCGTCATCACTTCAGACAGCAAATCTGTGACCATCTCCTACCTCTCTAAATAAAGAAGGCAATCTTGTGCCAGAGGGGGTGGGGAGTTCCCAGAATTGGAAGACAAAGTTCCCCTTATGAAAGGCATGAAACTGTTTGCTTTTACTTCCTCTATGCCTAAGGTGCACCAAAATGAGAAGCCATTGCTGAGTTTAGGACTGGAAGAAGAGGTTACACTCAAGTATCAGTATCAAGCCAGCTTGGTGTGGGATTTTCTGCACTGGTTCTTTGGGCCTGATGGTTCTGTCTGCTTTGAGAAGCTTTTGGCCGGGGGCTCTTTGCTTGTTCTTGTGTCTTTGGCTATTCTTTGCCCTAGAGAAAGCATGGAATTCAGCACCCCATAAGAAACAATAGAGGATGGATGGGGGCACCTTGTTCAGGGGTCCTCTGGAAATTTAGGGGTTATTTAATGGACAGGTACCAACAGCTCCACTACAATTTTGGTGCCATTTGCTCAAAAAACAGCTTCTTCAGAAAGATTCTTCATAGGGCATAATGGAGCCAAATATTATCCGAATCCTAGAAAACCCACAGGTCTGAATACCAAATCAGGAATACTATTTTTCAGCTCCCTGATATTCAGATCTGAAAAGTACTGATTTTTTTTCCAAACATCCCTTGAAGGTACTGCCTAGAGTGGATTTTTCCTGATGATTGCTGGGCAAGACAGTCCAGGAAAAGCATTCAGGGCTGCTCTATACAATTCTTTGTGGGATTTCAGAACAGGAGCCAAGCCTAGGGATGGGGATATCTTCCTCGCTTGACCAGCTTGGAGCAGGAACTCAACATCCTTCTGATGAAGGTCTTCTGGTATTAACATGTTGGCAGTGGACTGTGAAGAGCTTCTCCAGGTGGATGGTAAAGGTGCATGCACCAAGTCCCTAGGCTTCTCCACTGTTTGTTCCAGCATGCTGTAAGTGCTGACGTTTTCTTGCATCCTAAGTGAAGCAGGTCTATCTCTGGCTACGTTCCATTCCATTCCTATAATAAAGGGAAATATTTCATGGTATAAACCTTCTCACCTCTTACAAACAGGACTGAATTCCCAATAAACGGGGGTGCTGCAGACTTACACAGCTGCAACCTCTGAGTATGGAGAACAGGAAATCATTCAATAGCCAACAATTCAAACATTACTCCCAAATACCTTAGCTTTCACCTCATTTTAACTGAACGTCTATTTCTAGTCTCCACTGCTGAAGTTTATATAGCTATGAAGAAGCTAAATTGACATTCTGGATTGAGACTGAAGCAGTCAGGGAATTGGACTTGATCATTGTCCAGCAAGTCCTCAGAATTCCTGCCCTTCCTATTTTATTTAGTTATTATTTGTATTTATAGCCCGCCCATCCCGCAAATGGGCTCAGGGCGAGTAACATCATAAAACAATACAATAAATGCAATTAAAATTAAACAATTTGAACAATAATAAACATTAAAACACAGTCACACTTCTAACAAATCGGCTGGCTGTGGGGGTTCCCTGGCATATTATTTGGGTTAATAGGTGGGTGGGTGGCAACCACCTCAGGGAGGCCATATAGAGATGTCTGCTGCCTCAACCAAAGGCCAGGCAGAACAGTTCCGTCTTACAGGCCCTGCGGAATTGAAGAAGATCCCGCAGGGCCCTAATCGCGACTGGGAGCATGTCCCACCAGGCAGGGGCCAGGGCAGAAAAAGCCCTGGCCCTGGTCAAGGCAAGACGGATGTCCTTTGGGCCAGGAACAACCAGGAGATGTTGGTCCATAGAGCTAACACTCTTCAGGGTTTATATGGGAAGAGACGGTCCCTCAGATATGTGGGTCCAAGATCGTGTAAGGCTTTAAAGGTGATTACGAGCACCTAACTGGCAACCAATACAGTTAGCGGAGCACCTGCCGAATGTGAGCCCGCATAGGCGTCAATGTCAGCAGGCCTGCCGCTGCATTTTGCACCAACTATAATTTTCGGGTCAGCCTCAAGGGGAAGCCTACATAGAGCGAGTTGCAGTAATCAAGCCTGGAAGTGACCATTGAGTGGATCACTGTTTATGCCAATAAAGGTTTTGTATTTGTTGAGTGGGTCACTGTAGCTAAGTCCTGGGGGGGCGGGGGGGGGGGAGATGGTCTCAGCAGACTTACCTGCCTAAGATGGAAGAGTGCAGATCTGGCAACTGCGGCAACCTGGGCCTCCACAGAAAGAGAGGCAACCAGTGTTACTCCCAGGCTCCTCACTTTCTGGGTCGGCACCCCACTCCAGTGTGGGGAGTCTGATACCCACATCCACACACCCCCGACCCAGGTACAGGACCTCCATCCCTATTCCCCTAATGAAAGTTTTGCAAAGAACAGCGAACATACAGAACCATATGAGTGAAACCGAGTTGTGTACTTGGGCTGTACTGCTGCAGATAGGGCATCACGTGATCAAATGTTTCTCCACTTTAAAAGGTAATTCCAATTAGCATGCCAGGGAACAAGCTAGACTAGAATTCTTGATCTCACCCAGCTTGTTTTCTAGAGGCAGGGATGGTAAGGGCATAGAGCAGCCTCTGACCTCATGCCTGCGGCAGTACAACTCAAATGTAGGGTTGCCACCTCAATGGAACGAAGGTCCAAACCAATCCGAGAACCTGAGGTGTGCAGTTGTGGTGTTTTGACTTGGAGAGCCCTTCCCATGTAATACACAAGCGAAAGCCAAAGCTGGTCTAAAGAGCAGCATAGAAGGATGCCAGCTACTCCACCCTGTTGCTTTTGTTCTGAACAGCTACTTCTGTTATAAAAAAAATAAGGCCAACCACCTCCTTCTCTTCCAACAAGCAGGTGTCAAGTGGGACAACTCCATAAAGCAGCCCAGCCATAGAGCTGACTTCCCATCAGACGAAACTATCCTGCTTTGCCTGCCAAATATGGACAATGCCATATACTTGGCTGGTGGTGCAAAACAGCTGCATCACAGTTTTCAGGACCAAACAAAGACTTTGCTGCTTCCACAACTATCCTTTACCTCTGCCTTGGCCTCCCAGATGGCTTGTGCTTAGCTTCTGGTTCAGTTCTTGGTTTACCCACATGCTGTGGGCCAATTCCTTCTCCAGTGCTTGGATCATACCTTGGAACTGAAGCCTACTGGTTGCCTGCCTTTCTTCCACATGCTCTGTAATGGCAAAAATTGGTTAGACATCAGAAAACCAAGAGATGAAGCAGGCACCACAGAAGGTCTTCTGTTTACCCTGGATATGCTGCAACAGAAGCTGAATGTTCTGTTCGTGCTTCTTCTGCTGCAGGGTCAGCTGGCGGTCCATCTCCAAGCGCTGGCGCTCCAAGGCCACTTCCAGCCAGAGCACCAGCTGTTGCTGCTCCTCCAGTTGCATCTCTAGCTCCGAAAAGGCAATGTGTTGCTTGTGCTGATCCTCTCGTAGAGTCACCACCTGGCCAGAACCAAAAATGCAAAAAACCCCACCTCAATTAATGATTTCTCCCAAAAAGTTCATCATAGCTGTAACCAGTGCTTACAATGTCAGCACAGAAGCAATAGTTATGAAAAACATAACCCGCCCACCAGTAGAGCTGGTCTTGCAAGGTGTTTAACCTGTGTCTAGATTGCACCAGACAGTAGGATGGGGTTTAATTTTTAAAAAATTTAACAGAACATTTATATGCCTTCTTTCTCCAGCACCTGCTTGAAGCAGCTTACAAAGTAAAACATGACAAAAATGGTTAAAAGTTAACAAGCTATTAAAAATGTAACAGCCAGAGCAACAACACAAATTATTTATCAGCCTAAAATGTAGCTCCATAAACCAGTTTTCAGGCTGAAAGCATACTAAAGAAAACCATTAAAGAAGTAGCCCCCCTGGGTGAAAATAAATGTTATGGCCTGGCACCTAAAAGAGAAGAGGGAAGGCACCACATCAGCCTCCGGGGAAGCGCATGACACAAGGCAAGAAGGTTCAGTACTCCTCAAGAACAAAAAAATCCTCTACCAAAACACTAGATGTCAAGAAAAAGGAGTCTTCCCCACTTTACCATTCCTCACATTTTATTTACTTTCATAGATCTCAACATCTTCCCTCCTCTGTTCCTTTACTGGACTTTCCTACTTACTATTTTCTTCCGTTTTCCTCTCTTTACTAGCTTTCCATGGAAGCAGGGTTTCCGTTTAAGCCAGTGCTTCCCAGCTGAGCTAAGTTCAGCTATGAGAACAAGAGACCCATCACAGCAACATGGAGCTGGGCTTGTGAGCCTTTCCGTCACTGCTGAGTAACTGCAGGCATGACAAAACTGGCTCCCACTTCTGAGGTTACACTTTCCAGGCAGTCTCCAGCTCTGGCCCTTCCCAAATGAATACAGCCAGGAAGGAAGGCAGGGGACACACAGAACAGAAGAAACCATCAAGAAGAGGAGCTAAGTGGTATGCTGTAATCTGTCTCAGGTTCTCTCCAAATAGGCTCTGGGAAATGTTCTCCAGTGCCTTAGGTTTTGTGTTGGGGTTTTTTTTGGGGGGGGGGGACTGGTTAAGAGCCCAGGTTTCTGTTGGACGCAGGCTAGACAGCAACCTACTACACTGGACAGGGTTTCGCTTTAACATTTACCTTATCAAAGTACTTGCAAAGTAGGGAACGGGTCTCAGAGGAAGAGAGGTAGCTGAGTTTAGCCATGAGGTTCATCTCACATTGGGACAAGAGGCTGGCAGACGATCGAAGGACACGCTGCCGACAAGTGATTGACTCGTTTTTGTACTCAATGGCAGCATCCAGAGCCTCGATGGCCTCATCTAGCTGAAAGAGAATCCGTTCCTCCTAAAAAGAGATGAAGGAAGGAAGAAAATGTCACTCTGGCAAGCACTCATTTCTACTTCTGCTAGTTAAAGAGATTTGCAGTCCCTTTTGTAGAACGGAGGCCATCTTAAGATTTGCCCCAAACCACCCAACAAAGTCTTAGCTGAGCAGCAATCTGAACTCTGTTCAACATCCAGTATCCAGGAAAGCTATGGGGGGTGGGGCTCATGAGCACAAAACTGCCAGGCACAATCAGACACACACACCTTGTCCCAGTGACTTGATACCCCTCCCAGATCCCTCAACGCTTCTTCTCAACAAGTTCCCCAATAATGAGGAAAAGAATAACTAGTTGTTTCTCTCCAAATAACTCTGTCCAACAATTATGCACACAGTTTCCTCCCCACATTTGTTTCAAGGAGACAGAGGTGCACTTCCAGAACTCACGGCCACTTCTTAGCACCACCGAATTTGTAATATCCAGATTAGATTCAGCAGCTACTGCAGAAAAGCAGGAGTAAGTGGGGCAACTTTGTGAAACAGTTCTGGGATTTCTCTCTGAAATAAATATCTCTGTTCACCTGTAAAAGGTGAATTGCGCACATGCAGAAGGGGTACCATTCCCTCTTGGATTCGCCAACTGAAACAGCTCCTTGTACTGTTTTAAAGGATGCTTGTCTTCCCTCCTTTAAAATGCTGTTAACTAGCCCAATGAGTGAGGATTGATTAGTGAAACCAAAAGGGGGCTTTAGGATTAAAATCCTTCTCCTTGCACTCTAGTATAAACTGAGGCCATGCATGCAATTCATTGTTGACAGATTAGATTTGAAATCTGTCATGGCTGTGCCCTTATGTGCAAGTATGCTTGCTTACAGTTACTGTCTCAGGCAAACTGTTCCTGGGCTGTATCATTGTACAGTGCAGGGGAGGGGGGTATGTTACAATGCTACCCCATGAAAAGGAAATCCTTACCAGGACATGAAGGAGGGAGGCAGCTAGTGCACAATTGTTTCCCCTGTACATGAAAGGTTTTGGGGCAGTACAATGTTCCATCATGTGATACCCCCCCCCCCCCCCGACATCTAAACAAGACCAGTTTGACTATACAGCCTTGCGATTTGTGTAAGCTAGCCTTCACTTAGCAGGCACCTTCAAAACTCTGGTATTACTGCTAAGAGAAATGGATTCATTGTGCTGGTAAAACCTCCTTAAAGGTAAAGGTTTCCCTTGCTTGAAAGCCAGTTGAATTCAACTCTATGGGGCAGTGCTCATCTCCGTTTTCAAGCCAAAGAGCCAGCGCTGTCCGAAGACTTTTCCGTGGTCATGTGACCAGCATGACTAAACGCCAAGGTGCACAAAATGCCATTACCTTCCCACCGAAGTGGTACCTATTTATCTACTTGCAATTTCTTGCTTTCGAATTGCTAGGTTGGCAAGAACTGGGACCAGAGACGGGAGCTCACTCCGTCACACTGCACTCGGGTCTTGAACTGCTGAGCTACCAACCTTCTGGTCTGCAGCTCAGCATCTTAAGCTCTGAGCCACCACAGCCCTAAAACCTCCTTAAAGCACCACAAAAGCAGTGTGAGGCATCTGCAGTCCTCCTCACTTAGTTTAAAGCACACCTAATGGTGCCTAGAAGGAAAGAAGACGATCCCATTGAGCTGCAACTGACTCACGGCAACCCCATCTACGGGGCATTCCAGGAAAAAGATGAACACAGGTGGTTTGACATTAATGGCCTTCCTCTGCATAGCAGCCTTGGACTTCCTCAGTGGTCTCCCATCCAAGTACTGACCATGGCCAACCCTGCTTAGTTTCCAAGCTCTGAGAAGAAGAGGAAGAGACTGGATTTATACCCACCCTTCACTCAGAGTCTCAGAGTGGCTTACAATCTCCTTCCCCTTCCCACAACGGACACCCTGTGAGGAAGGTGGGGCTGAGAGAGCTCTGAGAGAAACTGCCCTTTCAAGGACAGCTCTGACAGAACTATGGCTTGCCCAAGGTCATCCAGCAGCTGCAAGTGGAGGAGTGGGGCATCAAACCTGGTTCTCCCAGATTAGAGTCCACACACTTAACCAAACTGACTTTCTGGGCTATTCAGGCTGTAGTAACTGGTGGCCAGTTCACCTCAGGGGACAACAAGGTGCCCTGCCGGAGCTTGTTGTCTATCTCGAGCCTTTGTTTAAGCAACTGGTCCTTCTCTTGACGCAAGTTGTTAATTTCTTGCCGAATCTGCTGCTGGTCTTTGTCACTACTCTGGCAAAGCTGTCCACTCTTCTGCGTCAGTTCCTTTTCAAGATACTCCAGGCGGCTAGATACCCGCATGATGTCATCATTCAGGGCCTGAAGAAAAGACAGAAGGAAGCAGTCCTTAGAGAACTGATCTCCTGCTTCCAGCCCAAGCCCTCTGCATTCACTGACCATCCTGTTAAGTTTGTTCCTCAGAGGAGAGAATTCACAGAGTTGAATCTACTTAATTCCAAGCAGAAGCAACTATGATGGCTTCTTTGGACAGGATTTTGACACAGAATAAAACAGCTCTAGTTTGTTTTTTCTCTTGAATTATGAACTAAAAAGAGCAGACATAGAACAGAAAGATCATATTAAATTGAGGGATAAGAATGGTTATTGTAAAATACAAAAAGACATCAGGATATTTATTCATCATATTTCTGTCCCTCCTTTTAAGTAGCTCTGGGAAACATATATGGGCTTGCCTGTTTTATTCCCACAGTCCTAGCCCATGTTCACCGTATGTGTAGGGAGCAAGAGCAGGAGTGAGCAAGAGTGGCCATGCCCCTGCCTTCACACAATCTGCATGGGCAGCCTCTCTCTCTCCCTGTGATGAGTGATGTTCAAAACCAGTATCACTGAGCACAGGGAGGGAGAGTTCACATGGCCACTTTCCTCATTTGGTCACCCCTGCTGGAAGGCAGGAGGCAGAGCCAGCCACTTGCTCTTGCTTTCCCTCTGCAGTAAATTGGGTGAAAAATGGGACTGTAGCCTTAACTGGCTAGTATAAAATATTCTCCTCATCACTTTTGCACACCAACAGATTATTGCAATGTCGCCTTAAATTCTGATGATGCCTTTACTGAAACAAATATGGAATAGTTATACTTTACAGATGCTAAATCTAAAATGCAGCAGCTGGCTGGCTGGCTGACCCCACCTGGCTCGAACGAAGCCTCTTATTTTCCAGGCTGTTCTTCTCCTGAAGAAGAGCTTCCTTTTTTACCACAATGGTTTCACGTTTTGACAGCTCATCTTCCAGCTCATCCAAGGCCTGGCGCTGCTCAAGGACTTTCTCAATCTCTGAATCCAACCACTTTTTCTGCTCCTCGATTTTCTGAGGGACCAGCAAGAGAGGAGCTTAGAAGGACTCAGCTTCCAAGAAGAAAGGGCAGCTGATCTGCCATCCCACAAAATGACAACATCCCAACCACAGCTGCCATTGGAACCCTTATAAAAGTATAGTCACAAACAACACCCACCAAGGGCAGACCATCTACAAACATAAGAGTGTTTGGAGGTCTTATAGACACTATCTATGTATGGAATAACAGAAGAGCCTACTGTTGGTTTTGAATATGTTCTTTTTGTAGACTATGTTTAATTGTTCTGAGCAATCTGTTGGATCAATTTTGGGTTGTGACCACTAACCCTTCAGTGAATGTGATATATAGTTTTCAACATAGTTGTGAATTGTAGATGGTCTTCCCTTGGTGGGTGTTGTTTGTAGCCATTGGAAAATGGCTGGAAGAGGAGGAGCATCAAAGCAAAGAAATGGTTATTGCTGGTGTCTAAACCCAAAACATCCAGAAGCCATGTTAAATGAATTAGCAAAATGAATAGTAGGAATAATAAGGATAGTCAGGCTGCAGTCATACACTCTAAATAATCCACTTTCAATCCACTTTCCAACTGGATTTTGCCAGTTCACACGGTAAAAATCCAGTCTGAAAGTGGAATATTTAGTGTGTGTGACCGCAGCCTCATACAGTTAACAGAGGAGGCAAAGTACTAACTCTTGCTCACACCTGCGTGCCTAGCATTTGATTTCTTCAGCACAGCAGTTTTTGCTATTTAGTTGTTAAGACAAACAGATTTGAGAGCAGGATATGAATTAATATAATTGCTTGATGTCACAAAGGTGATGTTTGTTTATGTAGTTCCTAGGAGGAAAAAGTATGTGTGTGGGGGAGGGGGCTCTGGTCCAGGTATAAGGTTGCAGGTTGCTCCAAAAACAGGCAGTTACTTTCTCTTCCTGTAGTCAGCTTTAAAATATATCTCTTTCCTCTACCTCTCAGCAAAGCAATTCACCATCATAGCAAGAAGAAGGAATGAACAAAAAGAATCTCAGAGGTAGCAGGGTATCATTACAGAAAACATCGAAACACTATGAGAGTCCAGGAATGGATTCTGCCTAACTGCAGTTTAAGGTGATACTTTTGCAGACCTTACGACACCCAGCAAAGAAGCCGTTGTTGTCCTTTACCTGCTGCTGCTCTAGGCTCATCACGGAGCCGTTGCTTCCACTCCGGTGCTTCCTCTGGAAGGCAGCAATTTCTTCCGTCTTGAGGCGCAGGATCTTCTGATGCTGTTCATGTTTCAGCTCCAGCGCCTGCAGGGGAGGAGGGGACACTATCAGACCAAAAGGATATGCAGCAGAAAGTTTTATCACATACCAAGGGCCATAGAAATTTGGCACCCACCCAACCCCAAAGATGTTTCCCTCCTTCAAAGGCAGGCCTAGCTCAAGACAGTTTGGTATTTTTTAAGTGGATAAAGAATTATAATAATTAAATTATCTGGTGCCCTTTCAGGTTAACGAGCATAACTAGTGTTTTCATCAATCTGAGGTTGAATGCATTGCACAACTTTTCTGCAATAATAATTTGTATTTAAAAGGTGTATCCTGTACTTTCCTCTAGTTCGAATCCTTTCCACACACCCTTTACAGCTTGCTGCATTATAAAATGTTAAACATTGAAAACCCAGAAAATAAATTGGTTTTTTTTTAAAAAAAGGCCCGTCTTCAGCTTGAGACGGTGAATTCCCCCTGCCCATCCCATTGCACAGCCACTCTCTACCCAGCTGTCTCCACCTTGACCCGATGCTGCCCTCTGTGCATCTCTGTCTCCAGTCGCCGCTTCTGCTCCACCTCTTCTCGCAGCCTCCTCTGGAGCTGCCTCTGCTGCTGCCGCATCTGTTGCACATTCCTCTCCAGCTCCTGCACCCGCTTCTTGCTTTGAGTGGAGAGAGATGCCAGCCTCTCTGTCGCCTGCTTCTTCTCCTGCAGAACCTGTTCCAGAAGACACACAAAGCTGCCTTGTACTGAGTCTAGATCCAGGTGGTCAGCCATGTTGGTCTGAAGCAGTAGAACAAATTTAGAGTCCGGTGGCACCTTTAAGACCAGCAAAGGTTTATTCAAGGTATGAGGTTTCAATGTGCATGCACAAAAAGCTCATACCTTGAATAAAACTTTGTTGGTCTTAAAGGTGCCATTGTACTAAGTCTATGAAGGTCAGTCTGACTGGAACCTGGGACCTTCTGCACACGAAGCTCTGAGCCATAGACCCTCCCACAGTCCATTCTGGGGCTTTTTACAATGCAAAGACAACACATACACTAGGGCTGGACACAAGGACACCACACGGCAGAGGCCACCCTTAAACCCACCTCTCAAACCTCCCAGAAGGTCTGTATTATTAGGTTCTGAGGCCAAATCCAGCAGAGCACCTCTGGCCAAGACACATTCTCTGGGCTCACCTTTGCCTTATTTTGAGCCGCTGCTACTTTGCTGCGACACTCCTGCAACTTCCACTTCTCTCCAGGGTCCCAGGGCTCTTTGCCTTCCAGCTCCTGCAGCTGTCTCTGGCTATCTCCCAGCTCCACTCGCACCTGCTCTGCCTCCTGCTCCAACTCACAGATCTTTTGACAGTACTGCTTGTTCATGGTCTGTGCATGCTTGCCTGCAATTTGCAAGAGATGCCTCGTTTACCGATCGAAGACCAGGCAACAGCTAAAGTTTAAGTATCTGGATTCCCAAGAAGCATTAGAAAAGATTAGAAGCTGGGAAGGAAGTATGTATGCTAGACAATGGGGAATAGGAGGGGGAAAAACAGCAGCGGGAAGGAAGAGTGGTGGAAGCATCACTTGGAATTTCAAAGCCATCTTAAGCCAAGCTAGAAAATAAGCAGGAGCATTGGCAAAAACATTTGCTGGGGACACTGGTTTTCAGGATTAAAAACCAGGCACATGTAGGAATCAATCATGTGTACAAAACCAAAGACCCTCATTGCCTGAGCAGCGTTGTCGCTATCAAGACTGCCTCACACCTGTCTTGATAAGTTCCACAATCAAATCTTCTTTCATGCGGATGTTGATGGCCAGCTCACGGATCTTCTGCTGAGCTTGAACCAGCTGCCACTCGGACTCTTTCCCCAAAAAGCCTTCCCCAGCATTGACTAGCTCTGGTCTCCTGCACTCTGCTGCAACCACAAAAGAAGTAAATTCAGATGTGCAAGGTTCCATTTTCATCTGGGAAAGAAACACAAGGCTCTCAATGAATATGTGTGTAATTCAGTTGTAGACACAGGCATTCTAGGGGATTTAGGATTAGAACACAAGGGAGGCTTGCACGTTAAATACCCAAACATACTTTACAATCCCAGAATGCAGGATCTTCGCTACACAGGCCACAGTTTGTGCCAGCCATAATCTATATGGCGAATCTCACGCACTCCCACACCCACCAACCAAGAGCTGGGGCACGCTGGCAAACCTCCTTCATACTACTTCGTATGGATGCAATGATGGGACTTAGAGGTGAAAAATGTGGGAATTGAAGGGAGAAGATGGTCTCTATGGAATACTGGGGAAATTATCCCTTGGCCTCTGTCATTTGGAGCCAAATCCTGTACTGCTGGTCTCCATCCTCCTCCACTTCTGGCTAGTCACCTGTTTACTAAAGGTGTAAGGTGAAGGCAGCTAAGGAACTCTCCCCCCCCCCCCCAGCTCCATGTTATGATCCATTCACTGGAGGATCCGCCTGCCACAGAGGGCTTCTTAAATTTCTTAGCAGAGGCTTCAAGTCTTATTCCCTTGTGCTTTTCCATCTAGCTTCTAGTTTTGTTCAGTGTGTGAGTTTTATGTTGTAAGCCTGGAGACATTACTGTTTTTGTTCTATAGAATTATGAGAAATACTGTTGGGAGACTCTTCCTCTGACTTTCCTGGTTGAAGAAAAATAAGCTACCTTTGGATAACTCTGGAAGTCCCTCCTGAATCAACACTGGGTTGCTTTTGCTCCATTCTTTGCTTGAAATCTTTTTAATCCAGCTGTGGATCCCATTTCTAAAATGGCACAAAATCACTGTCTTTTAGAAAGAGATCAGACATAAACGGCACAGAAGAAAAGACAACTCTGGGGAACTGGAGAAAGAAAGGAGGAAATAAAAACATTTTTTGGTATCTTCAACAAAACAGACAGAAGGCCTATGTAGAGAGTGAAGCCCACAGAATTCTGTATCCACCCAGAGGTAAAGCTGGAAGCATATCAGTCCGTTTCCCCCTCAAAGGCGTTTCATATCCTTTTTGTCTTAAGCCACGGTATACAAGAAATACAAACAGAAACCTTCTATATGTCTCCTCTATATCAAGGCTGAGTTTACATTTTTTTTCATCAGTGCGGCTGCATTTTCAGGTTGGCACCAGTATTCCCTCTAAGCTGAGTTAGTCTGAGCTACCTCACAGTTTTTTAGCCTCCGGCTCATACATTTTTGTCTTAACTCAGAAAGTATGGCTCCAGAGCAAACTAATTTATGCAGTAACCAAATCGTTCACTCACAACTTTAATGCCAGTATCGCACAAAGTAGAATTTTTGCTCACAAGACTCCACAGCTTAGAGGGAACATTGGTTGGCACCATCTCTAATTCCACCTACATTGTTTTACAACATGTTCTTTCATGTCTGCTCTGTTCTGCACTTCATATTATCAAGAAGAGCTTCCTGGCTTAGACCCCGGATGGCTAGGTCAGGGCACCGCTGCATTCTGGATAAACTGGATTTTCTGGGTCAGCCTCAAGGGTAGGCCAGTGTAGAGCGAGCTGCAGTAGTCTAATCTGGAGGTGACCGTTGTATGGATTACCGTGGCTAGGTCAGGGCACCACAAGAAAGGAGCCAGTTGCTGAGTTTGGTAAAGATGGGAAAACGCCAGCTTGGTAACATGCGTGACTTGGGCCTCCATTGATAAGGAGGCATCCAAGGTCACACCTGAACTCTTGACAGATGGTGTATGTGTCAGTGGCGCCCCATCAAGAGCCGGAAGCTTGAACTCCAATCCCAAAGGGCCCCTCCTCCACAGATTCAGTCTCATCCTGCTCTTTTGTAACCATCCTACCATGGCCTCCAATCCCTCAGACAGGTTTTGCAGGGCAGTAACTGGCCAGCCATCCAATAACAGATACAGCTGGGTGTCATCAGCATACTGATGACACCCAAGCCTGAAACTCCTCGCCAGCGGAGGGAACCCACATAATTAGGGTTGCCTAGAGGACACATCCTCACCCAGTGCCATACTCTGTCCCACAACCATGGGAAAATGAGGAAATCCATTAAAGGGCCACCCTATGAACTCTTACGTCAGTGAGGCAGTGCATCAGAAGATCGTAATCGACTGTGTTGAACACCACAGTGAGGTCAAGCAACAACAGCAGTGCCAACCTGCCTCGATCCAGCGGTGTACAGAGATCATCTGTCAGGGTAACAAACATGGTCTCCATCCCATGGCCGGGGCGGAAGCGAGACCAGAACGGATCCAGTGCCGATGTGTCATCCAGGAAACCGGGAAGCTGCTCAGCACCCACTCTCTCAATCACCTTACCCAGAAATGCTAAGTTTGAAACTGGACCAGTAATTGGCTGGATCTGAAGGAGCCAAGGATTTCCCCCCCCAAGAGTGGTACAAGCACAGTCTCCTTAAGACCCTCCAGGGACAGATTGACAATGTCCAGCAGAGGGGCCCATATCCTCTCACTGCCGGCCTTAACCAGCCATGAGGGACAGATCAAGGAGGCATGTGGTCAGCTTAACAGCACCCAGGACCCTGTCAACATCAGCAGAGGAGAGCCGGCTGAACGAATCCGAAACTGAATCCAGAGACGGCCAAGGGGCCTTCAGTTCACATACTGTATCAACATTGTACTGAAGTACTGTGTGCTCAGAAAGAAGCATTTCTCTGCCCCAAGAAACCTTCTGCCAGAGATGCTAGGGAACGGAACATACGGTCTCTTGTGTGCAAGCCATACAAACCAGCACTCTCATTTCACCTGCGCTGGTAAAGGGACCATGTCTGCTCACACTGTCTTCCCTCCTCCTTCTCCTCTTCTTCTGCCTCAGAGGGCTCCCCCAGACCCTCTGAAGCCTTGTCCTGTATCAGGATACCATCACTAGCATCCAAACCCTGAGGGCAACTTTGATGGCACCCCAACAGGTCCTTTCCCCTGTAAGCTGGGGGACTGCAGAGCTGTTGAGAGAGAGAAAAAGAATGGACATGCTAAGTGGAAAATGTCTTAACAATTTTGCCTCATCCTAGAAATTACTCATCCTATAAAGGGAAACATTCCTTAGGTTTGACCTCCCACAAAATGTCAGTTCTTTCCTCTATGTTAAATCCTCATTTGTCTGTTTGAATTCTTTTACTAGCAACACTCCAGAGCAAGCCCAGTAGAGGAACTCATTCACTAGGTAAATAACTTTCACCTTCCCTCTCCAAAACCTTTGTACTAGGAAATGCAACTATCATACATGCTGTCTTCTTTTCCAGTAAAGAATATGAATCCAATGATCCCCAGACTGCTGCTTAGTGGAATGTGAGAATTGCAGTGTTCCACTCTGTCTGAAATCATGCCTTAAGAATACAAAGTTTCTAAGTTCAGTTTTAGGGGGACACATACCCAGGGCCGGCTCACCCGCTAGGCGAACTAGGCATTCGCCTAGAGTGCGGGCCGGCCCTTAGGGGCACCAAACAGGACCCGCTGCCCCGCCGCCAAAGCCCCCCAAGCCCCCACCAAAAGGACGCGGAGGGGCGCAGCAGCAGCAGAACCAAAAAGAGGGCGGGCAGAGTGGCAGGCGGGGAGAGGAGCTCTGACAGGACTTTCAAGCAGCCTCGTTCCCCGCCGCCACCTCGGGCAGCAAAAGGTGAACTGGAGCGTGACAGGAGGAGAAAAGGACAAAAAGAGAGGCGCCCCTGCTTTGTTCTGCCCACTGTCTCTTTTCCTCCCACAGTCCCACTCTCGTCTCTCTCTCGCACGGAAGCAGGGAAGGAAGGGATTGCGGACGGACAAGCGAGGGGAGGGCTGGAGCAGAGAGCGGCAGCCGACAGCAACAAGAGGGCACCTCTTTCTTTCTCTCTCCGTCCAGAGGCTTGGGACTGGGGCCCCCCTAGCGCTCCTCCACATCTTTTGCGCATGGGCTTCACTCCAGATTGCGGGGCCGGCCAGGCAGGCACAGGCGCGCACACACACACACACACTCCCTCCCCCGCCTCTTGCTTTCGTTCTCCCTGCCCCGGCGGCCTCCCTCCTCCCCCCCCCCAGGAATGCGGCGCAGCGGTGGCCCCTCAGCGGTGGCGGCAGCTCGGCCGAATCTGGTAGTTCTGGCCCTTCTCCGCCCACGCCGCAGCCGCCCTGCAGCCCCAAGTCCCAGAGGCTCAGAGCGGCTCCCACCCCACTCAGCTGCCCTGCGAAGCAGCCCCCAAGAGCCGAGTGGAACTTCCCCCGTGGTCCCTGCTGCTGGCCCTCGTTACCTGCAAGATCGTCGAGGCTGGGGGGGGGACGGAGGGGGGCGGCCAGCTGGGAGGTGTCCAGGCCCCACCGGGAGGTTGGCATCTGCGCCTCGCCTAGGGCGCAGAAACACCTTGGGCCAGCCCTGCACATACCTTAACTTTTGCAGATACTTTTATTCCTAAAAGGATGCTACCACAAAACAACAGAGAGAATATGGCATGACAGAGACAACCCTTAATGTTTAAAACTTTTTACAACTGTTTAGAGCCAAAGAGTTTCTTGTTACTTTTCTTTGAACAGGCAGCTTTTTCACATCCCATTCAAGGATGTATGAACATTGCTGTTCAATGGAAGCAATGAGGTACTAGCTGCAGAATTCAGCCTTTATTTAAAAACACATGCTTGAAAGCATCTCGGCAACACCTGGTAAAACTGCAGAAGTCTGAGAGGCTGACATATTCTAGTGCTCCAAGTTCTCTGCAGCGCTCCTTCATATGAGGAGCAGAGGCAGAATAAACTCTAAAAGATGAGAGAAATGCTATGCATTTTTAAACTTATGTAAACTATAGAATGGCTTTTTCCCCTGCTGCAGAACTGGATTATTGTGTAGTGCAAAACACACACAAAACAAAAAAACCCTGCATGACTCATGTGAGGGTTGACATCCAGACGGAAGTTGCTTGGAATCTGTATCCTCACATTTAACCCATGTTGTCCTAACAGAACCAGGATAAGGGTCCCGTCATCTTTGTTCAGGTCTCCAACCTCCTTTGTTCCTGAACTTACTTAAAACTAGTCCCAGAAAACGACTCTGAAAAAGCAACAAAATGCATACATCATTGACACAGGATGCCACAAGAAGCCCTACAAACCTTATTGTGGTTGGTAAAGCCAAGCTTGGGCCAGTGGGGGGACTGGGCAGCATCCACAGGGGCTGTGTGAGGTCTCTGGCCAAGCTGAACCAGGTAGACGTTTTGCAGCAACTCAGGTGCGCCTGAGTTTGGCCTTGCCACCCATAGGCATTTGTGTAGTTCGGAGATGAGGTCTTGCTGTTCCTGCAACTTGTCACTCTGCAGAGGAGGTGGGGGGGGAGATATAGATGCTGTAGATGAACACATTAAACTGCTTTATACTGACTCAGACCACTGGCCCATCAACGTCAGTACTGTCTACTCAATACTGGCAGCGTCTCTCTCCGTCACTACTGCCTGGAGATGCCAGGGATTGAACTTGGGACCTTCTGTATGGCCAAGAGATGCTCTACTACTGAGCCACAGTCCTTCCCCAGCCTTAGAGCTGTGCCATAAGACTGATATCTTGTACACAAACTGGGCAGCTGTTGCTGTTGATGTCCACCCTGTCGATGGCTTCACTGGACAAGGACCACAGAACTACAGGTGAGGAAGAAGTAGAAAAGCAAATACCTTGAAAAGACCATGGAAAGATTACCCATGACCTCAAATTCAAACAGACAACTTCCCCTTCTTGCAATGGAGGCAGGAAAAGAGCAAGGGACCTAGCCTAAAAGCTGGCTGCGATAAGAGATTATTGTTCTGCCTTGTTGAGCACCAGAGAGGAGTTTGCCAATGTGATCTGACAATACCTGCAGTTTGTACTGCTCCATGGCATCCTCAAGGGCAGCAAGGAAATCCCGATTCTCCTCTTCTAACCGCTCCACTTGTCTCTCCAGCCTCAGCAGAGAGTCCTCTCTTACTGTCTCACATCCCTTTGTGTGGCTATCCTGCTGAGGAGAAAACAGAAAATGGGCTGCATTCTCACAACTTCAGAATACCCTTTCTGCCTTCCTTAGCTGGAAATAATGAGGCAGAGCAACCATGGCTATAGCACAGCAAGATTCCACAAACAGTGATCTCACATTCAACCTCAGCCCCACTGAGAGTGAACTCTGATGCTGCTTTGTTGGCAACGGGCTGTTGCCTCCAGGCCCTGATCAGCAGCTGCTCCAGGAATTATATTCAGGTGGTTGTTTGCAGACATGATCCAGTTTCTGTGAGGCCACATCGTGCTGCCCAAATAAGTGGGGTCTTTGCTACCATCTGTTCTGTGCATATCAACCCCCCTCCCAATCTTTAAACTACACAAAACTTCATATTTTCCAAGTCTTTGCAGGCAGATTGCAATAAACAAACATCCCCACCACTACCACCACACCTTTAAGCTTCTGTGTTGCTTTGCATTAAACAGAAACAGTAAACTATGAGTTGGATTCAGACTAAACTGGAATTTTCATCATTTCTCCTTCCTGCTCCACACTTGCCTCATGTCATTCCTCTGGTTGCCTGTCCCCCAGAAGAAGCATTTTGTGGAGCTCAGGGGAGGCCGGAAAGTGCCATTCTGCCATTGGAAAGTTTAGTCTGGATCCAATCCCATATCCTACATCAATTACTCCCTTCATTTGCTGTACCAAAAGACTGGAGAGTAGCAAATGTGACCAATTTTTTAAAAAGGATCCAGAGAGGAACCTGAAAATTACAGGCCAGTCAGCCTAACATCTATCCCAGGAAAATTAGTAGAAACTGTAATCAAACTGTAATCAAAGACAGAATTGTTAGGCACATAGAAGGAGAAGAGATTGGATTTATATCCCGCCCTTCACTTGGAGTCTCAGAGCGGCGTACAAACTCCTTTCCCTTCCCCTCCCCGCAACAGACACCCTGTGAGGTGGGTGGGGCTGAGAGAGCTCTTGACAGAAATTGCTCTTTTTCAAGAACAGCTGTGCCAGAGCTTGTGACTGACCCAAGGTCACATCAGCAGGTGCAAGTGGAGGAGTGGGGAATCAAACCCTGTTCTCCCAGATTAGAGTCTGCGCACTTAACCACTACACCAAACTGGCTCTCTACATAGAGGGACAAAGCCTGATGAGGGAAAATCAGCATGGCTTCTGCAAAGGGAAATCCTGCCTCAACAACCTTTTGGAGTTCTTTGAGAAAGTGAGCAAGCATGTAGACAATGGTGGCCCAGCAGACATTATGTACCTGGATTTTCAAAAGGCTTTTTGACAAGGCACCTCACCAAAGACTCCTGAGGAAACTTAGCAGTCATGGGATAAGAGGATGGGTTCTCTTATGGATTAAAAACTGCTTAAATGACAGAAAGCAAAGAGTAAGAATCAATGGATAGTTCTGACAATGGTCAGAAGTAAACAACAGAGTCCCACAAGGATCAGTATTGGGGCCAGTACTATTTAATTTATTCATCAATGATCTGGAACTAGGGGTGAGTAGTGTAGTGGCCAAGTATGCAGATGACACCAAATTATTCAGGATGGTGAAAGCCAAGGCTGACTTTGAAGCGCTCCAAGAGGACCTCCACAAACTGGGTGAGTGGGCAACAATGCGGCAAATGAAGTTCAGTGTAGGTTAAGTGTAAAGTGATGCACAGTGGGACAAAAAATCCAAACTTCAAGTATAGGCTAATGGGGTCTGAACTTGCTGATACTGAGAGGGAAAAAGATCTTGAGGTCGTAGTAGATAACTCAATGAAAGTGTCAACCCAGTGTGCTGCAGGTGTGAAAATGGCAAACTCTATGTTAGGGACTGAGAATAAAAGTGGTCAGTATTGTAATGCCCCTCTATAGATCTATGGTGCAGCCTTGTTTGGAATACTGTGTACAGTTCTGGTCCCCATATTTCAAAAAGGAGATTGTAGAGCTGGAAAAAGTGCAGAGGAGGGCAACCAAGACGATTAGGGGGTTGGAGCACCTTCCCTATGAGGAAAGGCTGAGGAATCTGGTACTTTTCAGTTTAGAAAAGAGACGACTAATGGGGACCATGACAGAGGTTTCTAAAATTATGCATGGGATGGAGGGAGTTGACAAAGAATTTTTTCTCCCTCTCCCAAAATACTAGAACCTGAGGGCATCCAATGAAACTGATGGGCAGTAGGTTCAGGATGACAAAAGGAAATACTACTTTTTACAGAGTGATTACAATGTGGAATTCACTGCCAGAGGATGTAGTGATGGCCACAGGAATAAACAGCTTTAAAAGGGGGTTAGATAGATTCATGGAGGACAAGTCTATCAATGGCTGCTAGCCATGGTGACTGAGGGGAATCTTGACATTCCGAGGCAGTAAGCCTCTGAATCCCAGAGCCATGAGGCTACAGAGGAACTGGTTAGCCACTGTGTGAGACTAGTGTGCTGCAGGTGTGAAAATGGCAAACTCTATGTTAGGGACTGAGAATAAAAGCGGTCAATATTGTAATGCCCCTGTTCCTACATTTCCTGCATTGTGCAGGGAGTTGGACTAGATGACCCTGGAGGTCCCTTCCAACTCTATGAGTCTATGATTCTTCTAACCTGACAAGCTATCGCTATGGAAACAGTAGGGGGGAGTATAGAGTTCCTACCATTGGTCTGATCCAGCAGGGATGTTCTAGCATTTTCAGGATTAGTGGTAGAAAGTGCTGTCAAGTCTGAGCTGATATATGGGGACCCCATAAGGTTTTCAAGGCAAGAGACAAACAGCTGGTTTGCCATTGCCTGCCTCTGTGTAGCAACTCTCAACTTCCTCAGTGGTCTCCCATCCAAGTACTAACTAGGGCCAGTCCTCCTTCGCTTCTGAAGATTTGGTGAGCCAGGGCCATCCAGGTCAGGATTAGTTGGTCCCAATAAGGCCTCGCCTTACTTTCTGATATGTTTCTTGATCTCTGGGCCATCACAGTCCCTGACAGTTTGGGAAAAACACAATTAGTGTCTGCAGAAACACTCCAGAACTCTGCCATTACAATGAATGTGCTCCTTTGTGGAGAGAAATTACTGCAGGCTAATGGGCCCTTCAGTCTTGCAGGAGACAAAGACCAGTGATGAGAAGGCAATGGTTGTCAGATTCTAATTAGGCACAGAACTCATGTTTTGTTAAATGATGCAGACAATTCCTCCTTTTTTTGCACAGCCAACTGCCGAAGAAAGGGGAACGTTCCTCATCACTTGCTTTCTTCAAACTAGCAGAGCCGGCCCGCCCTTACTCTCAAGACGGGCTTCAGGGAAGTCCCCTTAGCAGACTGCAGCGGTTCGGTTCCCTCAGAGTGGGGCAATAACATTATTCATACAGGATACTGAATACATGGGAAGAGAAATTCCAAGTGGCTTCAGTTTCATGTCCTCATTGACAAGACTCGGTTCATTCCCAGGTCATTTTGTCAGTCAATTCAAACACCACACTGAACTTCTTAACACAGAGGCCAACTCTTTGTTTTCTTTAGTTTTTCTACCTACTCCTGTCAGGAGGGAATTGCAACATATGGAAGTAAAATAACCATCATGAGCATTGTTTGTCAATTCAGGCCTCACACCAAACTCCCCTGCATGTCAGGTCTGTCAGGCCATCATAAATCGGGGTTTGCCCATTGAGATATCGCACTACTAAACCACAATATTCAGCTTCCTAAACTATGGCTTGGAGCAGTGTCTGAATTAAAGCAATATCTTTGTGTACCAAATGAATATTCCCCATTGTTAATCAATGATTCTATGAGAAGGAAGGTCAGGATGTGTTGCATCAGTGCTTAGTTCTTGTGGCCCTTGCTTACATGCCCAGAGAAATGCCAATCGCCACTTTGCGTCAGGAAGCAATTTTCTCCATGCCAATTTGGCCAGGGATCCTGGAGGGTTTTTTGCGATCTTCTGGGCATGGAGCAGGGGTCACTGCGGTGTGCGGGGGAGGTAGTTGTGAATTTCCTGCATTGTGCAGGAAGTTGGACTAGATGACCCTGGAGGTCCCTTCCAACTCTATGAGTCGATGATTCTTCTAACCTGACAAGCTATCACTATGGAAACAGTAGGGGGGAGTATAGAGTCAAGAATTCCTAATCCTGCCAGGGAATCCTGTTTTCCTTTCAATTCTCTTTATTCATATGAACAGCCTGGTCTCCCCCCCCCCCCAAATGCCAGCGATTGATCCTGGAACCATTTGCATGCCCCCCTACTGTCTCTCCCAGTACATATGAAGCTGTCTTGCAGAGCCAGGCTACTGGCCCATCTAGCTCAGTATTGTCTACTCCAGTGGTGCTCACTCCATGGTTCACAGAGAGCCACATATTCCATTATCCTCAACCAGAACAGCCACATTTACTCCATGCAGCAGCTGTTACAAGGTGGGAACCATCTGCCAATCACAAACTCCACCAGGCAAAGGCCATGCCCACTCTCATGGAACACGAGTCAAGTTCCAGATTAGAGTGCTCAGAAGAGCCACAGGTGGCTCATGAGTTGCTGAATATCAGTGGTCTAGCCTGACTGGAAGCAGCCCTCCAGAATTGCAGACAGAGGTTTTTTGCAGGCCAGCTATCCAAGATCCCTTTTTTTAAAAAAAAAACTAACACTGCCAAAGACTGGGCAGCAGCATTAAACTATGTTCTCCACAGACTGGCAACAAATCAGACTGAAGCCAGGGAAAGCAATGTCATCCTTGCCTAACAAATTGTGTAAAGACACCCTGACTAAACATATAGCCTGAGGCTAACTTTTAGTAGGATAATCCTGGTGATATTCTGGCAGACATCTTGGGAATTCACCCTTGATGCAAGTGGGGCACAAACACACACACCCAGCCAACCAAGCAGTTCTTTCTTAGTACCTGAATGCTAGATAATTCAGAATTTTGCACCTTGTGGTTCTGATTTTCAGTTGAAGTGCTTTCGATACCGCTGTCTAAGCCAGAGACTGAGCTCAGTTCGCTCCTCTCACTCTCCACAATGCACAGCCACTCCTTCACTCGCAGGATCTGATCCACAGTGAGGTTGCCTTCTTCTTGCAATTCTGTCAAGAGCCGGTAGGCAGCATCAGTGCATGTCCTATAATGGGTACACTCCATGAGCAAGCGGGCGGTGTGGTCCTGTGATGGCTGCTTGGGGGCCAAGTCAGAACGGTTGATGATGCGAGTCTCTGAGCGGTGCCGTTGATCCAGTGCCCTCTGTAGGTTCTTTATCTGCAGTTGCAGCTCCACCACATGCTCTGTCTCCTTGCAGCAGTTCACCACCGCCCTGTTCTTGATGTTCTGAGCACGGCTGGCATAGTTCAGTGTGGTCAAGCTCTCGTCAAAGTCAGAGGAGGAGGGGCTGACGCAGGCAATCATCACAGTCTGAGCATTCCCACCCAGGGAGTCTTTCAGGATCCTAGGGGAGCAAACAGGGGGGGGGGGGGAATCAGGATGCAATTCCACTGCTGGGGCTCAGGTTGAATGTACAAGAGAACCAAATGCAAATCCCCACATATTTATCATGAAATCTGACAAATAAATGCACATTTTTCTCCTTTTGATCCTTACTACTCTTCTAGCCCGACCTCACCAGATCTTGGAAGCTAAGCAGGGTCGGCCCTCGTTAGTACTTTGGATGGGAGACCACCAAGGAAACCCAGGGCTGCTACACAGAGGCAGGCAGAGGTCAGCCACCTCTGGATGTCTCTTGCCCTGAAAACCCCTTGAAGGGTCGCCATAAGTCAGCTGTGACTTGATGGCACTTCCCACAACCAACTTCTCTTCAGGGGAAAAATAATCAGAAAGTGTCTACAACAAGTTCTCTCTGATCCCAAAAGTCCCTACTGTTGTTCTTTTTAACACTGAAAACAGACAAAAAAGTCAGGGAGACTCTATGTCATACAGAATACAAAAATGAACAACTATCAACATTTAATACAAGGTATGAAGTTCATACAAAATACATTAAGTGCAGTTTAGACAAAATCAAATAAATATACAATATAGGTAAATAATTCTTAATACTGATACGCATATGATAACTGCAGGTAAGTAAAAAATAATTCTGCTAAGTATGCAATAACGAAGGCTCCGGATTTTCTCTTCGTTTCGTAATTCAAACTTCCTCAGAAGTAAATATTTCTAGCACAGTATTGTTGTCAATTTCTTTGTTTGAATGAACGTAGTTACAAACTCACATATCATAACTTCTTATATTAGCCGCACATAGTCATCACCATAGCAATACCAGGCACAAGTCTTATAATCCGGAGCCTTCGTTATTGTATACTTACCAGAATTATTGTCTACTTACCTGCAGTTATCATATACGTATCAGCAGGGCTTTTTTGTAGAAAAAGCCCAGCAGGTACAGGAATTCATTAGCATAATAGGCCACACCCAACAGCAGAAACTCATTAGCATATTAGGCCACACCCATGCATTCCCTTGGCTTGCCTGGGCATCCTGCGGCTGTGGGGAGCCCGGGCAAGCTGGCCCTTGGACAGGCCGGGGAAGGCATGGGGAGGCATTTAAATGTCTCCCCGATCCTTCCAGGGGGGCCCCAGCCCACCCGCCTCGGAGTTGACGGGGGGGTGTTTGCTCTCCAGGCCTTCCCCCTGTAGCCACGCAAGCAGAGGTTTTAGCTGTAGTGGACGTGGCCAACTCTGAAGCCAGCCGGAACTCCGTTCCTGTGTGTTCCTGCCCCAAAATAGCCCTGCGTATCAGTATTAAGAATTAATTACCTATATTGTATATTTATTTGATTTTGTCTAAACTGCACTTAACGTATTTTGTATGAACTTTATCTTTATACCTTGTATTAAATTTTGATAGTTGTTCATTTTTGTATTCTATATTGTATTTTGTATTCCCTGGCTCGTTTGTCTATTTTCTATGTTACTATTGGCTGGGAGGTCTCCTGTATATTGCATGTTGTTTTTAACACTGCCATTAACATTTTAATATCTGTTTTCTCCTCTGTAGAACTGGTTAGGCTCAAACTGTCTTTGATATTTGTTGGTCTTCATGGCAGTCAGTTCTTACCCCACTCATGTACATTACAGGTTGTTCCCAGCACCATTCATCTACAACATCTGAAGTTCACCAATTGACCCTAATAAATCTGATAACACAAGCACCTGCATAAATGCTGGTTCTTATGGGCATTCCCCAACTGCAGGAGCAGAACAAACAGAGAAAACCTTAAACTTCAGTCTTAGACCCCTTCCAATCCGGCTTTCGCCCGGGTCATGGGATGGAGATGGCATTGGTCGCCCTGACTGACGACCTCCGAAGCCATCTGGATCGAGGTGGTGTGGTGGCACTGTTGTTGCTTGATCTGTCGGCCACATTTGATATGGTCGATCACCAGTTGCTGGCCCACCGCCTCGCCGACGCGGGGATTCAGGGGCTGGCCCTCCAATAGTTTGCCTCTTTTCTCCAAGGTTGGGGACAAAGGGTGGCGATAGGGGAGCAGCGGTCCCGGGCACCCTCTTGATTGTGGGGTGCCTCAGAGGGCAGTGCTGTCCCTGATGTTGTTTAACATCTACATGCGCCCCCTTGCCCAAATTGCCCGGAGGTATGGGCTGGGGTGTCATCAATATGCGGATGACACCCAACTCTATCTGATGCTGGGCGGCCGGTCGAACTTCGACCCAGATGACCTCCAACGGGCATTCCAAGCCGTGGCTGGTTGGCTCAGACTGAGTCGGCTGAAACTAAACCCAACGAAGACGGGAGGTCCTGGGCCTAGGTCAGGCCGGTTCAGGCTTGGGACTCCCTCTCCTGACCTTTGTTGGGGCGCCTTTGGTGCCAGCATCGGGGGTTAGGAGTTTGGGAGTGCTCCTGGACTCCTCTTTAACGATGGAGGCTCAGGTAGTAGCCACTGCCAAGTCGGCCTTTTATCATCTTCAGCTGGCACGGCAGTTGGTTCCCTTCCTTGACCGTGATGACCTGACTACAGCGATCCATGCGACAGTCACCTCAAGGCTGGATTACTGTAACGCTCTCTACTTAGGGCTGCCTTTGTCGCAAATCCGGAAGCTGCAGCTAGTGCAGAATGCAGCAGCCAGGCTGTTGACGGGTCTCCCTAGGCGGGACCACATCCAGCCTGTGCTGAAGGCGCTGGCTGCCAATAGCATACCGGATCCACTTCAAAGCGCTGGTTCTTACCTTTAAAGCCCATTATGGTCAGGGTCCAGCATACCTAAGGGACCGCCTTTCCCCATGTGTTTCCCCAAGGGCACTACGGTCGAGGGGCCAACATCTTTTGACTACCCCAGGCCTCAGGGACGTCAAATTCGCCGAGACTAGGGCCTGGGCCTTTTCAGTGGCGGCTCCTACCTGGTGGAATGAGCTCCCGGAGGAGACCCGGGCCCTATGGGATCTTGCGCAGTTCCGCAGGGCCTGCAAGATGGAGCTCTTCCGCCAGGCTTTCAAGTAGGAGCCACCGCCGCTACTGTTCCATCAATGCACCGTCGCCGAAAATTGGCAGATACCATCAGGGTGCAATCGGGCCCCGGGAAGAAGACTACCCATCTGCCGCTTTGGAACTTATGTTGTTGGTCCAGATCCACTCTACCGGAACCCATCTTGGAACTGGGAACATTAGAGCACCAGCACTTTGCTGTACTATTGTTATGTTTTTGTTTTAATTGTTTTAATTATGGCTTTTGCCTCAATTGTTAGCCACCCTGAGCCTTAGGGGAGGGCGGGATATAAATTGAATTATAAATTAAATAAATAAACTTGGCAACAAGGTACTGAATCAAGCAGATAGTTAAAAAAAACTGTGTTCTGCTACTAAGACCAGAGCACATAAATTCATCCTGACACTGGGAGCAAGTCTCAAGATCATGTGCTGCCTCCAATCAGCTTCCCCCTCTCCAGATCCTGTTGACCATATCCTTCCCCACCAGCCTTAACCAGGGCTGCTGGGGAGGCAGGGCTACAACATTCCAAGGGTCCAGATCATGCTGAGAGCTAAGGCAAGGAGCCACTGAGTATCTCTGTTCTAATCAAGAATTCTTTGTGTTTTTCTCAACATACAAGAGGCAGCAATTGAATCTTTATGAGGCCCACAGTAATTCTAAGCACTACTGGACTTAACCACTAGCCACAGCACCATCCTTAACCACATTTAAAGTCATCCACAGAGTGCAGGTGTCATGGTATAGTCCTATCTCAGAAGCTAAGCAGGGTCTTCCCACTTGCCTTGAAATCCCCTTGCTGGGATCGCCATAAGTCAGCTGTGACTTCACGGCATTTATGTATGTAATGTCATCCATGGAGCGGTACTGCATATTAAGGGTTCTGAAACCAGTTGCATACCAGTTAGGAGCATTACATGTCCACCAATCCTCTAATAATGGATTTTATCATATGAGCTCTTTAGGGGGCATGCTGGCAGGACAAAACATCAACGAATCTGTCAAACAATAATGAATGATTGAATCAGTTGTCTTTCACACAGTGCCGCACTGTAGCTTATTGCTATTAAAGCCTCCACACTCACAGCAGCCGAGAGCCAAGCTCATCTCTGTAGTCATTCTGCAGCAGTGGTTTTCTTTTTCCAAGAGTCCAACCCACCTAGCAACAAAAGCCAGATTGTTCATTTCCACTGAGTGGGCAAGGATTTTGCTAGAGGAGACATCAATATTGAACCATGAGTCCAAACAATCTGTTTTTACATTCTGGCATCCTCAAATTTACACATAGGCCTGAGAGATCTGAGCAACACAAAGGCTCCTTGGAATTTTTTACCCAGAATGTCCTGACTGAGCCTCCATCAGCATAAAATCAAAAGAGATAACAAGCTGGTAAATCTAAGTCAGAAACTTAGAAATAACTAAAGAGCACCATCAAAGCTTAAAAGCACCTGCTCACCAAGTGTGACTTGGTAAAGATTACAAAAGCCACTTAGCCAGGGTCTACATACCTGGTGATTTTGGAATCCCGGTAAGGAATGTGACTGCCTTTCCGGCAGGGGTCCCCCAAGGCACTGATGACATTTCCCAGTGCCAGCAAGCTGCTGTTGATCTGGATGCTCTCTTTGAGCCTCTCCCCCGTGCTCCCTGTCTTCACCACCCGTTCAGAGCCAGCCAGGTCAACAAAGTGAAACTTGGAGGTTAGGACTTGGCCAGAGACTGGAACCAATATCTTGTCTTGAAGGGCAAGACGAGTGAGACGCCCAGCACTCTGGCGCTGCTCCATTGTCACAGTGAAGATGGTGTGTGAGCGGCTGGATGTCCTGTTGATGTGGGTGGCACCAGTGTGCTTGGCTGCATTGCCCATTTCCAGCAGACTCAAGACCTCATCCAGGCCTTCCACTTCAGTCTCCTTCACCCCATACAATACTGCAACAAGAGAGGAATGGCAAGGATTACAAAGAGGCAGCCTGCACCTGAAACCCAAACAAGTCCTAGAAGGGACTATCTAAAAAAACAAGAGGAACAGCGAAATGTTAATTTGTACCAATATTGCCCTTGTCATCTTCTCGGATCTGGATGGCCTTGCTCGCTGTCTCCACTTGCAGGAGGTCCCGGAATTCCTCCTTATACACTTCCAAGTAAGAAATACGGACCATGTAGTCTAATAAGTCATTCTCGTCCATGAGTCTGAACACTTCAGCCATGGCTCGGGGGATTATGCCCTGCTCATCTTCATTGATGGAAGCTGGGAAAGAGAAACACGAATGCAGTTGGGTAGGTGGAGGTGTCACCAGCAGTACAAGCATAGGAGGAACCCATCCAGTGCCAGGGAAAATGTTAGGATAGAAGAGCTATTTTATACAACTGGCCCAAATGGCAACTTGCTGTAAAAAGAAATATTGATGCAGTCCCATGTAAATCCAGCAATGACATTAACCGCATAAGGCAAGATGTTGTGGGGCAAGGTTTTACAATGGAATGGTGGTGGAGTAAGGTTTTATAATAGAAGGAGGTGGAGATATGGTTATGCTCGGTCCCCTTCCAACCTTCACCCCATCCTGAGACATGTCGGTAACGGGGCTAGGAAGACGTACCCTTCTCTTGCACTGCTATCGTACAATGCCAGGTCCATAAATAAGACCATAACGCTGCAAAATTATTTTGCAGCACAAAAAGACCTGGGTGCGGGAGGGCAAGGCAGTCAAAAATCAAATGCATAATTACAGGTTGGGGGAGACTTGTCTTGGCAGTAGTATGGGCAAAAAGAATCTAGGGGTCTTAGTAGACCATACACTGAACATGAGTCAGCAGTGTGATGTGGTTGCTAAAAAGGCAAATGCAATTTTGGGTTGTATCAACAGAAGTATAGTGTCCAGATCACGAGATATGATGATACCACTTTACTCTGGTTAGACCTCACCTAGAGTATTGTGTACAGTTTTAGGCACCACAATCTAAGAAGGAAATAGACAAGCTGGAACATGTCCAGAGGAGAGCAACAAAGGTGGTGAGGGGTCTGGAGACCAAGTCCTATGAGGAAAGGTTGAAGGAGCTGGGTATGTTTATCCTGGAGAGGAGATGAATGTGAGGTGATATGATAACCATCTACAAGTACTTGAAGGGCTGTCATCCAGAGGATGGTATGGAGTTGTTTTCTGTTGCCCCAGAAGGTTGGACCAGAACCAATGGGTTGAAATTAAATAAGGAGAGTTTTCGGCTAAACATTAGGAAGAACTTCCTGACATTTTTTCGGTTCCTCAGTGGAACAGGCTTCCTCGGGAAGTGGTGGGCTCTCCTTCTTTGGAGGTTTTCAAAGAGAAGCTAGATGGCAATGCTGATTGTGTGAACTTAGGCAGATCATGAAAGGGAGGACAGGAAGGGTTGCCTCAGTGCTTGGTTCTTGTGGCCCTTTTTTTACATGACCAGGGAAATGCTGATTGCCCCTTTGGGGTGAGGAAGCAATCCTAGAGGTTTTTTGTCATCTTCTGGGCATGGAACAGCAATCACTACGGGTTTGGGGGGGGAGGTATTTGTGAATTTCCTGCATTGAGCAGGGGGCTGGACTAGATGACCCTGGAAGTGCCTTCCAACCCTATGATTCTATGATTCTAAGCTTAACAAGATACAGCTGCATTGTTAATACAATAGATTTTATCATTGAAAAGCAAGAAACGTTAAGGCTGGGGTGGGGGACAGAAAACTGGGGCAGGGGGTTGTGGTTTTCCCCGAGGACCTTTTTTCCCCCGATTTTTTCAATGCAAAAAATTGTACATTTGGGGAAACACTGGAAAAAAACTCCCATGAAAGGTTCTCTCTTAGAATGAGTTAAAAGTTAAAATGAGTTAGAATGAGTTAAAAGTAAAACAAGGTTTTACACACTCAAAATGTATAGCATGAGGAAGACTCAGGCCTTCTGTGTTGCAACTTTGTCAAATGCACACTGACTGCATTATAAAAACATCAACCAAAAAAATAATTTACATTTATGAAAAAGTAAAAAGTTCATTTTCTGAAAATGCATAGAGAATACTTTCTGAAGTAGATCCTAAAACTGTTTGGAGACCAAGCCCTATGAGGAAAGGCTGAGGGACTTGGGAATTTTCCATCTGGAGAAGGGGAGGTTGAGCGGGGATATGATTGCTCTCTTTAAGTATTTAAGTATTTGAAGGGCTGTCACCTTTTTCCAACAACTTAGGAGGCGACTCTACACATGGACATCACCAAATGGGCAACACCAAAATCAGATTGATTATGTCATTTGCAGTCAAATATGGAGAAGCTCTATACAGTCAGTAAAAACAAGACTTGGAGCTGACTGTGGCTCAGATCATGAGCTACTCATTGCAAAATTCAGGCTTAAACTGAAGACAGTTGGGAAAACCACTAGACCATTCAGGTTTGACCTAGATCACATCCCTTATGAATATACAGTGGAGGTGAAGAATAGGTTTAAGGGACTAGATTTGATAGACAGAGTGCCTGAAGAGCTATGGACAGAGGTTTGTGACATTGTACAGGAGGCAGCAATCAGCACCAATGCTCTCTCTAAGCTGTGGAGTCCTGAGGAAAACTTCTACTTTGTGAGCTACCAGCATTAAAGTTGTGAGCAGGCAGGTGATTTGGCTACTGAATAAATTAGTTTGTTCTGGACTGGAGCCATCCTTCCTGAGCTAAGACAAAAATATGTAAGCTGGAGGGTAAAAACTATGAGCTAGCTCACACTAACCCAGTTTAGAGGGAACACTAATTTTTTCCCTTTTTGGTTCCAAATATTTACATGCTGTTTCTATTAAAAATTTATTTGACAGCATTCATATTTCATGGAGAAGGGAAAGGAAGAATTCCGAGATTAATGCAATAGAGGAAAATGGAACTTACAGACAGTTGCTTCTCCAATGGTGTAGGTCTTGCCAGACCCTGTCTGGCCATAGGCAAAGACAGTAGCGTTGAAGCCTTGAAAGAAGGCCTCCACCAGTGGCTGCACGCAAACAGCATACACGGACTCTTGGCTGGCAGATTCGGTGAAGACAGTATCAAAGTGAAAATGGCGACTGTGCCCCAGGGTCACTTCTTTAGTCTCTGGATCTCCTCGCAGGCACGTTTGGTGCCCATGCAACCGTTCCTTAGGCAGCAGGGGTCGAATGCGAACAGCTACCCGGACAGGAATCTCCTCCATTGGTGGCTTGGACTCAGCTTTACGGCCCATGGTCAGTCACAACTGAAGATTCAGGACAGATGTAAGCCAAGCAGGGGTTCTATTGCTCTGCCAGCTCCTCTGCAAGAAGATAAAGTTAGAAACAGATAACCCTAAAATAAGGAATATTGGCAACTTGGTCCTGGAAGTAGAGCGGTCAAAGCAAAGCACCTGTTCAAGCGTGAGCAGACTGGGAAACTTCACAAAGCACATAGCATCCACTATTGTCAGAAATCACATAAAACTCCACCATCAGAAATACCAGGCCGAGTGTGAGCATCCAACATGGCATATGGAAGGAAGAAAATTTGGGTGTGTAGCTGACATCTCTGCAATGCATGGATGGAGGCAGTTTCTGGCAGTGGGAAAAGGTAGGATTAAAATATATTAAATATGGCTGTGGGTTAAATGGTGGAAATGCTACTTTGAAGAAGAGAAGAGGAGAAGAGATTGGATTTATACCCCACCCTTCACTACCCGAAGGAGTTTCAGAGCGGCTTACAATCCCTTCCCCTTCCCCTCCCCACAACAGGCACCCTGTGAGGTAGGTGGGGCTGAGAGAGCTCTCTCGAGAACCAGGTTTGATTCCCCACTCCTCCACATGCAGCTGCTGATGTGACCTTGGGTTAGTCATAAGTTCTTTCAGAGCTGTTCTCTCAAGGGCAGTTCTCGAGAGAGCTCTCTCAGCCCCACCTACCTCACAGGGTGCCTGTTGTGGGGAGGGGAAGGGAAAGGGAGAACCTTGTGTGCTGCCCTGAGTTCCTTGGAGGAAGGGCAAGATGAACATGCACTAAATAAAAGAATAGTTCTTCAGGGTCCTCCCCGTAATCTGCAACATGGGATGATAGTACTGCCCTACCCTGTGGGGTGGCTGCACAGAACATGTAGTAATGTAGGTAATAGCTGTCAGCTAATTAATAATCTGCAAAGGAGGCAGATCCCCTAATCATTCATAGTATCCAAGAATGGGGTGAAATTAGGTCTGGGGGATGTATACTGTGAGGGATGTATCCCCCAACCCTAGTTTATCCCGTCCATCTCAATTCAGCACAGAGAGGGAATGTTTCTTTTTTTGCATTGTACCATTCTTGTTGGGGCTAGATGAGTACTTTCCTGTTTGTTTATCCCATGAGCAGCTAACTTTTAATCTACCCCTGAACGGCAGCACACAGGACAATTACACTAAAATGCTAGACTGCTGAAGTTTAGGACTAGACGATCAGGAAGCTACTCTTCTGACTCCCAGTGCACTCTAACCATACTGTATTTGCTAAAGAAAAGGCACGCAAAATGAGATTCTGATGTGCCTGAGACTTAAATTTCAACATCACAATTAACAGAATTTTTCAAAATGCTTTGTGATTTGTGTTTTTTATTTGAGAGAGAAGAAAAGACCGGCTTTTTGAGAGTGCTGCCCTGTTTATGAAACACTCTTTTCCTGGAAGTTCACCCAGTGCTTGCTAATTTGGGTTTTAGACACAGACATTTATTATTTGCCCCAACATCTTCCCACTTTTGTATTTTAGTAAAGGTAAAGGTTCCCTTGCTCGAAAGCCAGTCGAATCCGACTCTAGGGTTGCGGTGCTCATCTCCGTTTCAAAGCCGAAGAGCCAGCGCTGCCCGAAGACGTTTCCGTGGTCATGTGGCCGGCATGACTAAACACCCAGGCGCACGGAACGCTGTTACCTTCCCACCGAAGTGGTCCCTATTTATCTACTTGCAATTTCTTGCTTTCGAACGGCTAGGTTGGCAGGAGCTGGAACTAGAGACGGGAGCTCACTCCATCATGCGGCACACTCGGGTCTTGAACTGCTGAACTACCGACCTTCCACAGCCTGCAGTTCAGCATCTTAACCACTGACCATTTAAAGATCCCCCCCCCCCTTCTGTAGCATTTTTGTAGGCATTGCTTCTCCCTTGATGCTCTGCTGTTAGGGGTCTTCTGTTAGTACTTTTGTTACATCGGTTTTGATTGTTTCATTTTAAACTGGGGCAAGTCTTGACTGATTTGTAAAAACTATGATTACGGTCAGCGACCGTAATTACTAGTCCATCATCTTTATCGGTTGTGTTACTGGTACGAGCTGCCCGGATCAGCTCCTTCAGAAGCGGTGGCAAGAAAAAAAACAACCCATTTTTAAAAGGCTCTCTTTCCGAAGAAGGGTGGAGATGACAGATAATATCAAACAGCGCTTTAGGAACTAGCCCGTGTACCTGGCCTGCAGATCGGGGCAGGACCCACCACCCCTTGACTCTCCCCTCCCCTTTCACAGAGACCCACCACAAAAGAAACCACTTCGGCCCGTCCCAGAAGAAAGGCAGACGCCCTCCGCACATCCCAGAGGCCCGCCGGGCAGGGAAACAACGCGAAGGGCGACGCTTTTACCCATCTCACCTCGTCCTCACAACAAGCCTGCCCTGGCAAGGCCCGGCCCGGCCCGGGGCTTCGGCCGGGGGCAGGACTGGAGGGGCAGCAACGCCAGCCCAGGCAGGCCGGCGCCGAGCAATGGCGTCAGGCGACGACCCGCCCCTCTCCCCCTTCGTCGGGGCAACCAAGAGCGAGGGAGGGAAGCGGCCGGGGGCGGGAAGTCTCCTCAAGGGGCGGAGAGGGAAGAAAGAAGAGGCCTGAAGGAAAAAATGGCTGCTGTTTCGGGCCATCCAGGGCCCGGACAGGCGACGTGGTTTGGGCAGAATAGACGCGCCTCTCA